TCCCTCTGGCTGGCTGCTTCTGGACCTCATGGGCAGCATCATATGCTCAGGACAGGGGTACTAGATAATTGGCTTACTTGGTGGATGGTACCATCAGGGGCTCATTCCTCAGTGCTCAGGGCAGGTGCTCATGAAATGCAAAAAAAAAAAAGGTTTTACTTAAAACAATAAATATTAATTATATAGCATTTTGTATTCTGCTATTTTCATTTGGCATAAGTATTTCTTGAGTTTCGATGTCACATAGTTTATTTTTCATTATCAAACCACCTATAATTAAATATAACCCTGCATTTTGACCAGGCCCCCGGTGACTCACACACATTGTTGTTTATTTTGAGTTATTATCTCCAGTCTTTTTGTGTCTGCATTTTGTCAGTGGTTGGCACACCAGTGCAAAAGCAATTTTGTGTTCTGCCTTTTTTCCTCGCATGGCATTCCGTCTCAGGCAGTTTTTGGGTTCATCTTCTTCTTTTTTTTTTTTTTTTTTTAATGTATTCTTTTTATTTATTTATTTATTTTTTATTTTATTTTTTTTAAAGATTTTATTTATTTATTCATTAGAGACAGAGAGAGAGAGAGAGGCAGAGGGAGAAGCAGGCTTCCAAGGAGCAGGGAGCCCGATGCGGGACTCGATCCCAGGACCCTGAGATCTTGACCTGAGCCGAAGGCAGACGCTTAACCATCTGAGCCACCCAGGCGCCCTGGGTTCATCTTCTTGAGCACAATTAGTAAAGTTTGTCCACCCGTTTAAAGATACAGCTGTGCTCTTCAGTTGGACCCCGAGGTGGCCTAGGCTTTTTCATGAATCGTCTTCTTGCATTTAGCTTTTTCTCTTTTCTAGATACCTTTGTAAAGGATGGATTCTCAGGACTGGAGGATTCAAAGGAAATGGACGCTCTTGCAACTGGATCTGCATGAAGCCCGGTTTCCCTCGGGAGAGTGACTGCTGACTATAAACACTGTGTGGAGGGGGTTGTCATCCTCTGAATGTGGCCCGTGGGACGGGCGCAGGTCCCATGCTCTCTCCCGGTCCTGCCTGATTCAACAGGAGATAGAGGCCAGGCTTGCAGAGGATTTACCAGCCCAACAAAAACATCTGGCTGCTCACCCCTCCCCTCCTGCCCTCCACTCCTCTCTACCTGGAGCTGAGCTCCTGACCTAGTGCAACTGTAGGGATTTCTAGTCTTTTTAAAAATTTTTTTAAAGATTTATTTATTTATTTGAGAGAGAGAGGGAGAGAGAGAGAGCAGGGAGAAGGGCAGAGGGAGAGGGAGAAGCAGACTCCCCTCTGAGCGCGGACCAGGCATGGGGCTCGATCCCAGGACTCTGAGATCCTGACCTGAGCCCAAATCAAGAGTCAGATGCTTAACTCTCTGAGCCACCCAGGGGCCCCAGGGATTTCTGTTCTTACCCCTGCCTCCACCGGGCTACTAGGCCAAGTGGAAGAGGGTCCCTCCCCAGTGACCCCAGAAGGGAGTGACGGTCTCCCTCCACTGCCCCCACCAACTGGGCGGACTGCAGGGAAAGCAGCAGGAAGGGGATGTTTCCCCCAGAACCTTCCCAGAGGCTGGTGGTGGTGTTGTTTGTGGTGGCAGCAGGGCTTTAAGAGAAGGGTCAGTGAAGGGAAAAGCAAAGGCTCAGGGAATGACAGAGGTTTCTAGAGCAAGGCCCTAACTTGGCTCAGCCTCCCCTTCCTCCTCTAGAAAGAGAAGAGGATGGTAATAATAGTAATAATATCCACAGCACAGGGCTGAGGTGAACATCAAGTGAGAAAATGAAGTGAAGACGTAGTTCTTGAAAAATGCTGGGTGTTTCCATGAGGAATGAGAGTCCCAAGGCCCAAGGATGGGGTGGATTCAGCCTCCCTGTGCACCCACTGTGTCTAGCATTGGCTTGATTTGTTAAATGTCTTTTTATTTCTTTATTGTTATGTTTATAGATTTTGACAGTCTTTTTTTAAAGATTTTATTTATTAGAGAGAGAGCACAAGTGGGGGGAGGAGCAGAGGGAGAGGGAGAAGCAGACTCCCCACTGAGCAGGGAACCCGATGCGGGGCTCGATCTTAGGACCCTGGGATCATGACCTGAGCCGAAGGCAGACGCATAACCGACTAAACCACCCAGGCACCCCTGTCAAATGTCTTTTTAAAAGTGAGGTCCTGAAACTTTGTTGTACATTAGACTCACCCAGGAAGTAAAAATTGCTCAATGCTTAGGTCGCACTCTGGACAGTTACATGTGAATTTCAGAGAGGGAGGAGGTCCGTCCACTCAGCACTGGCGGTGGCTGCCCCTGAGCTTGAATGCTCACCTGCACTTGCCTGGCTGATTTTCCCTCATCAGAAGGTTTATAGCTCCCCAGGTGATTGGCGCATGCAGACTCATGCTCCACACTTGCCACTCAGGGGTGGTGCAGGGCGACGTCATGCCGTCATGCCGGTGATGATCTGGGCCCTTGTTAGAAATGTAAAATCTTGGGCTGCACTCCACCCTGCTGAATCAGAAGCTCATTTAACCAGACCCCAGGTGATTCCTCTGCACCTCACAGTTCGAGAAGCCCTGACTGGCACGCTGTCGTCAGAACATTGGTGCGGACCGGAGCACAGATGTTGGTGCCTGGCCCCTGGGTGCGGTCCTTGCTCTGCTGTTTATTAGTTTTGTGACTCTGGGCAAGATGCTAAACCCCTCGGTGCCTCTGTCTGGTCATCTGTAAATTCACAATAGTGGGAGGCCGGTCTCATGGGGTTGTTCTGAGGCCCGGCTCATGGTAAGCAATGCAAGGATTCTTCTGTTACTGTGACAAATCTCTTCCTGAAGGGGCTCTGAAATGCAGCAAGCCTCACAAGTGTGACAGTGGCCCTGGGGTCGGGGTCAAGAGGGTCCTGGGACAGCTCGAGGTCCCTCCCCGTCTGGACCTGCCGTGAGCCAAGGGGCTCTCTGTACCCTGGGATGGGAGCAGAGACTGGCCGCCTCAGCAGATGGCAGCAGGCTAGGAGGTGCCGGCTCCCAGCTGGGCCAGCACAGGTCACCGCAGGCCCCACCGAGAAGTGGTGGATGACAATGGCTACCAACTACCAGCACGACCAGGCATAAGCCCCACATTGTTCAGTCAACCCCATGAGATGGCTGGGAGTGCACTTGGGGAAGTGGCCCGAGAAAGGGCTGAAGTGACAGAGTGTACCTGAACATCACTGGATGGCCTTCCTGTTCTCACGTGAAAGGGAAGCTTGGGATGGAACCCCAAGTTCAGCTATAGGAAAAGTAAGTTTTGCCATGTTAACTCCCAGTGGGAGGGCTAGGAACTTCCCAGTGATTTCCTAATACCAGGTATCCCCCCCACCCCTGTCTTTGTGTCTGACTACACAGGAACCATGCAATATGGGAAAGGGTGCTTGTTATTTTTTATTTTTTTTTTAAGATTGTATTTATTTATCTAGAGAGATAGAGGGAGAGGGCATGAGCAGGGGGAGGCGCAGAGGGAGAGGGAGTGAGAATCTCAAGCAGACTCCATGCCCAGCGTGGAGCCTGAGGCAGGGCCTGATGCGGGGCTTGATCTCATGACCCGGAGATCGAGACCTGAGCTGAGATCAAGAGCTGGATGCCCAACTGACTGAGCCACCCAGGTGCCCCAGAAAGGGCGCTTTTTAAAAGGTTGATGCAACATAAGCAGAAAGCACAGGATAATGGGTAAAAAGAGACTCTGGAAATGCGCCTGATTTCTGAAGTTAGATATTCCTCTGACACTCTCAATAAAGCCTGTCATTTATGGTCCATCTGTCTGTCCATTCATCTGCTAATCTAATTGTCTGTTCATCCATCCATCCATCCATCCAACCACCCACCCACCCACTCACCCAATCATGTATCCTAACATCCATCCATCCACACATCCATCCAGATCCATCCAGTGAGGGAATTTATCTCCTGAGCCTCCGTATTCTTGCTTCATCATTCTAATAGTTGTTCATCTGGCATTGCCAAGGAAAGAACTATTCCACTGAAATACCTTTTTTCCAGATAATTTTTATCCCTTTAAGAGTGCCTAATTGCATTTAGTTTAGTCATTTTAGAGAGAAATTTTTTTAAGTGCGTCGTCAACTTGTCTTCCTTGCTAAAAGAGGACATGCTACATCATCTGTCTTTTCGGATGATCCAGGTCAAAGCTGTAAATGGCCGCCATAGTGCTTTGTTGTAAGACCAGTGTTGTGGGCCCCCAGGCCTCTCTGCAGCTTGACACTAAACGCTCTGTTTGCTCTGTTCTTGATACTCACTTTTGTGCTTTTTGCTGATTCTGATTCTGCTCACCTGCCACTTAGAGCTCTTGGCATGCTTCTAAGCAATTACTTCTTTAAGTGGCCTTGGGCTGGGAGAATTGATAACTAAGTGTGTTAGAATTGTGCACAAAGCAAGAGCCCTGAGTTCTTTTTTTTTTTTTTAAACATTTTATTTATTTATTTGAGACAGAGAGAATGAGAGACAGAGAGCACATGAGAGGGGGGAGGGTCAGAGGGAGAAGCAGGCTCCCCGCTGAGCAGGGAGCCCGATGCGGGACTCGATCCCAGGACTCCAGGATCATGACCTGAGCCGAAGGCAGTTGCTTAACCAACTGAGCCACCCAGGCGCCCGAGCCCTGAGTTCTTTGTGTATTTATTAAAGACATTTTTTGAAGTACACGAGTCTCCGGCCTTGTAGCCCCTCTCTGCTTCATCCAGGGTTGAAACGTTCCAGGTGGTTGAAGTCCTTGGAGGCATAAGCCCTAGAAACGGAGGTGACATAGTATGTCAATAGACATGAATTGTTCTTCCTTGATCATAACTGCTTCCTTTTCTGAAGAAGGGAGGGGATACCAGAGACTAACATGAATGAATGGGGGCCCAGGGTGGGGTAGCTGGTCAGTGGTGTCCGAAGTGTCTGAGGGATAAGGAAGCTGCTGAGTCCCACTGATAGTGAGCAGGTGGCTGGGGAAGGGCCTCCTGCCTCCTGCTCACTCCTCGTGGCGATGGCCAGTGTGGACAGGGGAGAGCGAAGGGAGCCCCCAGGGGAGCCGCAAGGCTTGGTCTCCTTTCAAGGCCTGGAGCAGGACTGGCACCAGCGGTGAGAGGGGCACTTGGGGTGGGGGTCGGGGGCACCTCGGCCTGTAAGCACCCCACTTCCTGACATACTCCTCACAACACAGCAGCTTCAAGAGTGACCCCTTTAAATGCACGGAGAGGGTGACACTCAAAACGCTGACACGCACCTGCGCTAGCAAGGGGACCCTTCTCTCTAGGTGGGCAGTGGCCTGTCAGATGGAAACAGACAATATACACTCAGGCAGAGAGGGAGTGCCCTTCACTTCCCTCCCGCCTGGGGACAAGCGCTGCCTATTTGTGACAAACACATCAGCTCTGAACTTGGACATGGTGACTCCCCTCAGGCAAGTGACCACCCCGCTGACAATCGGGCATCCTCCCTCCCAGGGTCGCCCAGGGCACACTCCGGCACACTCCTGAGGCGCTCCTCTGAGGCTCCCTGCGCATCTGTACACATGCCCACACGCATGTGCTCAGACACGCTCAGACCCAACGAGGCTTGGGGAGCTGGGGGGCTGATTCCAACGTTCTTCTCCCGCCTCTCCAGGAGTTTTGTCAACCGCAGCTTGGCGCTGGGGAAGATTCGCTGCTTCGGCTTTGACATGGACTACACCCTGGCTGGTAGGGAGGGAGGGGGCAGGGTATCTGGGGCTAGGGGAGCAGTGGGCAGGCACCAACCGCTGGTTCTGCTGGGTTCCCGCAGCCTACAAGTCCCCAGCGTATGAGGCACTGGCCTTCGAGTTACTGCTGGAGCGCCTGGTGTGCACTGGGGACCCACACGAGATGCTGCGTTACACCTACGACCCCTCCTTTCCCACCAGGTGCGGGAGCTGCCTGGGGTGGGAGGCTGTGGCCCGTTGTGAGCCCTGGCACCTCCACCCACAGCCTCTGCGCTCTCTCCCCAGGGGGCTGGTGTTTGACGTGCTCTGTGGGAACCTGGTGAAGGTGGACACCCATGGGAAAGTGCTCACCCTTCTCTTGGGCCCAGATGGCCAGCTCCCGGGACAGCTCAGGAACCACCAGGCAAGTCCGCCAGCCCTACCCCTTCTTAGACTTGAGGATGTCCCCAAAGATGTGGTCCCCAATGTACAGGATATCCTTCCCCTGCACCCCGAGCAGCTCGCACACCCCATCCGAAGAGCCTGCCCCCCCCCCGCCGACGGGAGGACAGGCTTGCTCAAAGCCCCTCCTGCCTGGTGGGCAGTTTGGGGCCATGGGCTCCTAGTCGAGGTAGGGTGCCTGTGGAGGCAGGAGGGCGAGGTGGGAGCTGGTAGCTCCAGAGTAAACCGCGCAGTGCTGGTGGGGCCCCGTGTAGGTGCCCACGGGGAGCTTGCTCGAGTCCTGGAGGGGCAGAGGGGCACCCTGGTCAGAGAGAGCAGGGGGCTGGGGGCAGCAGGGGTAGCCAGGGGGGCATGGGACGACGGAGGTGAGAGCTCCTCTTGGAGTAAGGGCCAAGGGGTGGAGGGCAAGGATGCTGGAGGAGAGGAGGAGGAGGGGGAGGAGAGACTCAGGCACACAGCAGAGGCTCAACAATGCCTGCTGGATAAGAGAGGGCGAACAGGGGTGTGGGGGTGTGGGGGTGGGAAGGAATGGCAGGGCTGGGCTGGGCCTCTAGGAGGCGCTAGGGAGGGCACATTGCCTGCACCCAGCCCACTCCCTCCCCAGGGCAGAGATCTGGAGCTTCTACCCCAGCAAGTTCATTCAGAGGGACGACCTGCAGAGGTTCCACATCCTCAACACGCTCTTCGACCTGCCTGGTGAGGGCTGGATGGCGGGTGTGGGGAGGTGGTCCTCAGGATGCCCAGCTCGGGCCTGGGTGGGCTGCTGCCTGGGTCCCTGGGCCAGCCACTGACTGGCCCCTGCCCCCGAGAAACCTACCTGTACGCGTGCCTGGTGGACTTCTTCTCGGGCTGCTTCCGCGACACCAAGTGCGTCCCGTGCCCTGTCCAGCCCTGGGTGACCAACAGGACACTGCTATGGCCCAGGGCCCACGCCCTGACCTGGGGTCCCTGCCAAAGAGCACAGACCCCTCCCGAGGGGCTCTAGGAGCTCAGTGGGAAGGCTTTCACTGCAGGGGCCCCCCGACCTTGTAACTGGTGCCCCCCAAGGGATGAGCCACAGCACAGGGTGACGCCCCTTCCAGCATAGCTGGGACATAAACTCAGTGTGTGGTTCGAGGGGTGACTCTGATATAGGGTCCAGGTTTGGTGGTCACCTCAGGCCCCCTTATTGGCCTCCCTGTCCTCTTGGCCTGCCCCAACTGTGACACTGGCTATCAGCATGGGAATGTCTTCATGTCCTTCCGAAGACTCTTCCAGGATGTGAATGATGCCATGGATAATGTCCACCAGTCGGTGAGTGCCAGGACCGCAGGACCCCAGGACCCCTGACCTGTCTGCCCTCAGCTCTGCTGGGCCAGCCCCGAGGGCTCCAGCCCCCACAGAGTTTCCACTCCTCTGCCCGCTGAGGACTGTGGTCTGGGCTCCCTGCATCTTGGACCCAGGCATGCGGGCAGGTTGGTCGCACGCATACATGCACCTGCACGCGCGCACACACACACACACACAGAGCTCTGCTCCCGCCTGCAGGGCTGTCTGAAGGAGAAGACCCTGGAGGACTTGGACATTTAGGTGGAGAAGGACGTGAGCGGGTCATGACCAGGCCTGTCCCTTTGTCCCCCTCCTCCCCAGGGCAGTGGGGCTATGTCCCTGCCTCCCTCCTCAAGATGTGGACAGAGCTCTGTAGCCTAGCCTTGCTCACAGACCTTCCTGCCTGGCCTGGAGCCCGTGCCTGGGAGGCCGGGAGCCGAGAAAGGGATCCCAGGGCAGCTGGGGGAGGCCCCATCCCTGGAAGTGACACCTACCTCTGTTCCAGGTGCGAATCCCCATCCTGCTGGGCAAGATGAAGGAGGTTGGGAAAGTGTTTCTGGCCACCAACAGCAGCTACAACTACACGGATGTGAGTATGTGGATGGGGGGGCCCTTGGCCATCAGAGCCCAGAGAACTGCCTCCTTTCTGGCCGCTGGAGGAAACTGTATGAACAGTGAGGGGTCTGGAGGAGCCAAAACCCTGCTACTCTCCCTGTCTGGTTGGCATTTTGGGTTCCATTTCTTGGCGTTTTAAGGTCTCAGTGGAGTGAACAATTTCTCACCACATAGCTCCTATGGTCCCCAGTGTGTCCTGTGAGGTGGGGTGAGGGAGGAGGCAGGCACTGGCCCCTGGCCCAGCCGACCTGGGTGCTCTGACCCTTGCCCTGTCTTTGCCAGGCCATCATGACCTACCTGTTTGGCATCGGGGAGGTGAGTGCCACGGGCCTGGCTGGGGTGGGCTGTGCCAAAGGCAGGAGGGCCAGGCCAGGCCACAGTGCTGAGGGCCTCTCCCATGTCCGGCCCTCCCCTTGAGGAGGAACTAAGTGTGGGAGGGGGCTTTTCCCATGCATGGGCCTCGCTGCAGGTGGTCAGAGAGAGCAGGGGATGGGAGGCCAGTGACCTCAGCCAGGCCAAGGGTGGCGCTTGGAGTGGGGGCAAGGCCACTTAGAGCCTTGGAGGAGGCCATGAAGAGGCAACCAGACGTTTGGGGAGGGGCTCAGTGAGGTGCAAGGGGGTGGGGTCAGGCTGTGGCAGACCCAGGGGAGGGGAGTGTGTGACCCACCCTGGCACCGCGTGTGACCAGGAGTCACTGGCAGGCAAATGGGTGAGCAGGGCTCGAACTCAGCCACCGCGCTCAGATCCTCTGTCCCTGGGTCTCTGCCCGAGCGCTCTGAGGAGCTCTGGAGGCTGACGTGAGAGCCTGCACAGTATCCAACACCTGCTTCCACAAATACCTTTTGAGCACTTCCTCGTGCTAGGACGGTCACGGCCAAGGATGCTGGGGAGCCAGGGGCGCCGCAGGGCTGGGAGTCAGGACCAGGGTGCGTGGGTGGCTTGTGACTTGAGCCCTGGCAAGCTTTCACGGTGCAGAGCGTTGCTGAACCTGGGCTGGCGCTTCCACCAAGCAAGGCAGGCCGGGGGGTGGGGGACCAGGGAGGAGCTGGGCCATGTGTCAGGGTCAGATGTCCCAGGCTGCGTGTGTGTGTTTGCAGTGCTCTGCCACGCCTGCCCACAGGCTGAGGCCTCCGACAGGCCCTGGAGGTCCTACTTCGACCTGATTGTGATAGACATACAGAAGCCCCGCTTCTTTGCTGAGGGTACGGCGCTGAGACAGGTCAACACGGTAATGGCAGGGGCTGAGGCCGCATCCACCCTGACCGGGAGGGCCACGTCGTCAGGGAGCCCGCCCCTGAGGCTGGACCTGCCCTTGGCAGCTTCCTCTCTGCTGCTCTGTCTGTCCCTGGAGACAGGGACCCAGGGGCCTCCTTCAGCGCTCGCTCTCACCTCCGTCCTCCCATGCCCCGCTGGCTACCCCTGCTGCCCCCAGCCCCCTGCTCTCTCTGACCAGGGTGCCCCTCTGCCCCTCCAGGACTCGAGCAAGCTCCCCGTGGGCACCTACACGGGGCCCCACCAGCACTGCGCGGTTTACTCTGGAGCTACCAGCTCCCACCTCGCCCTCCTGCCTCCACAGGCACCCTACCTCGACTAGGAGCCCATGGCCCCAAACTGCCCACCAGGCAGGAGGGGCTTTGAGCAAGCCTGTCCTCCTGTCGGGGGGGGGGGGGGCAGGCTCTTCGGATGGGGTGTGCGAGCTACTTGGGGTGCAGGGGAAGGATATCCTGTACATTGGGGACCACATCTTTGGGGACATCCTCAAGTCTAAGAAGGGGCAGGGCTGGCGGACTTGCCTGGTGGTTCCTGAGCTGTCCCGGGAGCTGGCCATCTGGGCCCAAGAGAAGGGTGAGTTGTGGAGGGGTCAGGGCTAGGAAGGGGGGCGCTGGCCACTAGTGCGGAGGCAAGCCCCTTCGCCATCTCGCCCTCTTTCCCATTGGGGGTTAGTAGTGACCATAATAATACTGTCCACTCTGGTTTACGAGAGCAGAACTACTTTATCCATGAGAAAACAGAGATCCAGAGAGGTTAAGCAGCCTCCCCAAAGTCCCACAGCCAGAAAGGGCAAGGATGCCTCAGATTCCTATCTCCTGACTCCAGAGTACTGTGGTGTTTCTGTAGTCTGAGGCCTCCTTCCTCACCTGACTCGACCCTCCCTATTCACCTGAGGCCACTTAGAGAATAGAAGGTCCACCCCCCGACCTGGGAATGACTTGTATCCTCGGGATCAGGAGTGGCTCTGAGCCCAAACAATTCAGGTTTGTTCTAAGAGCTGGGTTTGAGTCATTACCATGTGACCATGGGTGGGTCACCTGACTCCCTGGCCGGCTTCCTCACCTGTCCCACAGGACCTTTGCTATAACTGCTCTGCTCTGGGTGGAGCTTCACTTGATGTAAGGAAGGGGTGAAGGATGTTATGCACACAGCTTGGGGTGTGTAGACTCCTGGTGACCTCCAGCCTCACCACATGGCTGAGCTGGGCCTGGGGCAGACAAAGGAAGGTGGGGCTGTCACTCACCCCGCGCTGTCCCCTGTTGACTTTTCAGAGCAGATGGAGGAGCTGAAGAGGCTGGACATGCGCCTGGCAGAGCAGTACCAGTAAGAGCCCTGCCCACAGCGGGGAGAGGGATGGAGGGTCCTGGTCAGTAGTCAGGAAATCAAGATCTGTTCCAGGCTGGCCTTCCCTAGTAAACTGGGTTTTGGGATCCCTCTGATCCCTTGGGTCACGCTGTGACCTCTAGGTCCTTCCTCCTTACCCACTCAGCATGGACTCAGGAGGCCTGTCCTCTCACACACATGTGCACACACCCAGCCCAGCACCCTCCCTGGGTGCCCGTGGAGTGCCCTGTGACCCCCATGGGGCCTAGGGAGGTTGTGCCTGGAGCTTGGAGGCCCTGTTCCTCTTCTCCTGGGTCATGTGGCCATTTTTGCACCAGGCACATGGATGGGAGCAGTTATGGGCTGCAAGTCATCAACTCCACCAAGAGGGAGATTCAGGTAAGAGTGAGTGCTGAGCGAGGAGGAGACCCTCACCAGCAGGGGTTGGGGATGGGGTGTGGGCCTCCAGGCTGCCTGCCCCATCTGCTTCCTCCCAGGTTCCTGAGCCCAGTGATGTGATTTTCCCCAACCTCCGCAGAGCCACCTGTCCTTGTCTGCTGGCGCCCTCTGCTGGCCCATGTTCCAAATGACAGCAGAGCGCTGCCGCAGAAGGGCTGAGTTTAGCCTGTGGGGTGATTGTGGCGTGTCTCTCAATCTCCATCAACCCTCCTTGAGATGTGCGGGCTTGTCGGGTTGCGTCATGTGACTGACTAGCCAGCTGTGATCAGCGTCTGGGGGAAGCTAGATGAGCCACCCCAGAAGAGGGATTTAGGGCCGGTGAGCTGATGGGTCCTGGGAAAAGGAGGAAGGAAAACGCCCCGTGGCACCTCTGACCAGCCCCCAAAGCTGGGAGAGTCCCGGAGGCTGTGTCAGCGGGATTCAGGCCATTTGGCATGCACAGAGCCAGCTGGGCCCAATAATGAAGGATCTCTGCAGAGCCTTTGCAGGGTATAAAGCCCTTGCATGCTATTTGATCCTTCCATAGACCTGAGAAGTGGGCTGGGCAGGGACAGTTACCTTTATTTTACGGATGAGAAAACGGAGGCTCAGTGAGGGGAAATAGCATGCTTTTGGTCACTCTGGGTGTAAATGTCCAGACCAGTTCTCTAGACGCTGAAAGCAAGGCCTGGTGATGAGGTGGGGGCCTGCGAAGGGGGCAGGCAAGGGGCCAGGTGTGTGGGCCTCTGCACGGGCTCTCTGTCGGGGCATCAGAAGCTACATTAAGCTGAGGGTTTGGTCTCGGTGGTCACTCTCCAGGTCCAGGCAGGTAACTGTGAGGAAAGCAGGGAAGGGGGGCCCAGGGCAAAGTGCAGAGCTGCCTCACCTCCCAAAGCACCAGGCGCCGCCTCTGGGTTTAAAGAACACAGCTCCTTCCCTACCAGGGGCAGAGGCCCCAAGTTCCCAGGGTGATAGACCCAGGGAGGGCGGAGCGGGGCCTGGCCCCAGCGGTGTAGGATCGGCTGTGGGTGATGCAGGTCCAGGTGGGATGGGATCTCCCCTCTGCCAGAGAGTCACCCGGGAGCTGGGCCTGTGCTACAGCATGGTGGGCAGCCTGTTCCGCTGCAGCTTCTGCCAGATGCTCTCCTCCAACCAGCTGATGGGCTACGCAGACCTCTACACTGCCGCCCGCCTCAGCTTCCTGCGCTACCCGCTCGGCTCGCTTCATCGGGCAGCCCCGGAGCTGGTGAGTCCCTGCAGAGCCTCCCTGGCATCCCTCACCCTCTGCCCCAGAAGGACCCTCTGGTCCCCAGCCCCGCTAAGAGCTTTCGAGGTCGCCAGACCCAGTCTCCCACCTCCAGGTGGAAGTGGGTCCAAGCCTTGCAGGGAACTGTGGGCGACCTAACAAATGCACGGGAGGAGTTGCAGCGCTAGAGATAAGATGCCGCAGCTGGGAAGTTTTCTTCCTGCCCAGCCTTCACACCTGCTTTAAACTGAGACCACCTTAACTCAGTATTTCCTTAGTAGAGAGGATACCAGATGCTAGGAGGAAGGCTGCAGTCCCTCTCCCCTCAGTTAACATAGTGACTTCAGAAGAAATGGACGAAGCAGCAGATGATACAGTAAATGCCTCTGCTGGCTTTCCTCTGAACACCTGCACCTGCTCCTGGGTCAAGGGCAGGGAGGTGGAGGGCGATGATGTCACTGGGTTAATGGGAGCCGTGAGACCGCCCCTTGCAGCGCGTCCCTGAGCACGCATGTCAGTTCTCCCAATGAAGCGTCGGTATTTTCATCTTGTAACATGGAGTCTCACGTCAAGGATCTGGACTTGAAAGGATTCTCCAGGGCTCCTTGCCTCCTGCTTTTCTTGCCACTCTCAGCTGCCTTCCAGATGCTTGAGAGGTGAAAACCATTTTCTGAGTGTCTCCTGGGTTTCCTGCATTGGCTAGGTGCCTTTTATTTATTTTGTTTTTAAGTAATTTTGCGTAATGCTCAGTATAACCCACCAGAGTGGTTTTTTAAAAAAATCTTCATCGTACCATTGGCGAAATGGAAGTGTAGAGAACCTAAGTACCTTGCTGTCACTGCTAGTAGACTGCGGAGTCAGGATTTGAACCCAGTGCTCTTGAAGAACTGGGGACATGCTCTGTCCCCTGCACCACACTGCCACACACTGGCAAGGAGGGAAGTGAGCTCTCAGTGTGCAGCCTCCTCTCATGGCCAGGTTTTTAGATGAGCAGGGCTGGAGAATTCCTGTTGGCCAAACTGGGGGTCCGAAGCCTGCTTAGACATTGTTGCTAAAGTAGTGACCAGACAGGTGAAGAAAAAGCGACCTGAGCACCAAAGTGAAACATGTAAAGAAACCTGAGCTTTACCCAACCATGCTGGCCTGAGATTTTTGAGAAAGTGATGTCCATCTGCCAGAACCTTCCTTCTCCGGCTGACCCTCCTGGGCTTCCTCTTCTGCAGCATCGTTGGACAAGAAGCCGGCAGCTGTGGGTAGAGTGAAGTGGTGGTGGTGGTGAGGTGGGGGGGGTGTCGTTGTCTGTGCATAACCGAGGGCTTCCAGAAAGCCTCAACACTGAAGGAGCTGCTCCATCTCCACCTGCATGTGTCTCTGCAGATGCCCCATGAGTCAGTTGTGGAGCAAGAATGAGCCAAACTCGATCCCTTCTCCTGCCCCTGCTTCTACAGCCAGAGGGTGAGTTGCTAGGAGGTGGTGGGTTGCTTCCGTCCACAGTAGAGCTGGGAGGAGCCAGCTGGCTGTGCTGGGGGAGCTCGCCACCTGGGGCTACCCTGGGCTAGAGTAGGGGTTCCCAATGGAATGGTATTCAGCCAAGGAGGCATCTTGTCTTCAAGGGTAATCATCCCTGAGTATTTATGTTGAAATTTTATTATCACAAATTGCTTTTCTTTGTATTTCTCCTATGTTATAATATTACACTGATTTTTAAAACTATAGAGAGAATAACTATATTATCTATGAATTTCAATTCAGGAGAGAAAAGAGGAAATTAAAATATTTTAATTTGGGGCATTGGATCCCCTAGGGCCGGGAAGCCCCGGCTCTAAGCCCAGATTCACAGGTTTTGTTCAGCAGAGGCTAGCTGGTGCCTTCCACCTCTCCAGACCACTTTTGGCTGATTCGTCTGACAAATCCATTCCCACTCTGGAAGAAGCTGCAGAACACGTGCTCTTCCAAGCTAGGATTCCTCTCTAGACAGCCTTTATAAACACAATGAGTAGGGGCTCTTCTTCAGCTCCTTTGTCACTTTGTGCTGCGTGGTCCCCCTGTGAGTGGACACTCCAGCTTTCATGAGTGGCAGACTTGGCTCCTAGCCTGGTTCTGCATCGCGGAACCCTGCATGAGGCTTCCTGGGGCTTGATTTTTAAAATGTTCACCTCATAGGCTTCCTTTTGCTGGGCGGTGCCAGGCTCGGTGTGCATTTTTTCAACCAGTGTTTACCAAGTGCCCCCTGCATGCCCAGTAATTTAGAAACCAAATAGTAAGCTACAGTTCCCCTGAGCTACATCACCATTCATATCCAGTTTTATTTCTACACATTTCTTAAAAATAGTATTTTTGTGCACTTTGATTCTGTTACTAGTAATAACAATAATACTCGATTGGCCATAGATGACTTCATTGACTGTTCTTTCTCTCCAGGTCAATATGAAAGACCGTAAATGAGATAGCCCGAACATCTTTGAGCTTGGTGTATACGTGCATTAAAAAACATATACAAAGTCATACTCATGACTTAAAGACTTGGTACTTTATTTTGGTAGGAGCTGCTCTGTGGCACTAAGCCCACTAAGCCCATTGTTCGGATGTCACTGATTTGAATTCACTTCTCCGGCTCCTGTTTCGTCTGTTGGTAGCATCATCTGGTATTATCTAGAGGCTTAGAATGAATATACCTATGTAACTGAAATGACAAAACCAACTCTCGAAGGGACAGGTCTGTGAAAGAGTTCGCTAGTTTCGCTTTCTGTGGATAATCAAGGGAAACATTTGGAATATCTGAGGATAAATAAGGGATGACGGGCCATGTACTGAGAGAGTTTCAGAAGCTTGCAGGTCTGGTACTGCTAAGACCTTTCGTTCTTCTTCCTGGGTTGACTTTTGGGCCTGAGTCTGTAAAGCAGCTTCTCCAGGCAGAGACCAGGTATCCCTGGCCTTGTGTCTTCAAACACTACATTCTTGTTCAAGGGCTAGAGGGTAGAATTTTTTTTTTTTTTTTAAAGATTTTATTTATTTATTTGAGACAGAGAGAATGAGAGGGAGGAGGGTCAGAGGGAGAAGCAGACTCCCTGCTGAGCAGGGAGCCCGATGCGGGACTCGATCCCAGGACTCCAGGATCATGACCTGAGCCGAAGGCAGTCGCTTAACCAACTGAGCCACCCAGGTGCCCCAGGGTAGAATTTTATCAGGAAAATTGTTCAGACCCTAGGGCCCATGCTTTTCTGGAAAGATGCTGAAATACGGTGCAGTAGCTAATACTACAGAAATCAACCGTTAGAATTCCCTGCTAGGGTAGTGAGAATGCAGAGAGGGCTGGGGGATGAATAGCCACCAGAACTCTTCAGGTCTGAGGAAGAGTGAGGGAGGGGGAGGGGGATGCGGTGGCATGCTTTTTCCTTCTGCCTGAAGCATCCCCTCCCTCTTCTCTTGTTAAACCTGCTCTTGCCTCAGACTTGAGGGGCCTCTCCACCTCCCTGATTGGATCCGATCCTTCTGTTGGTCCCATCCTAGGGACCTCTCTTTCTGGGGATTATTCCATTTTCACACATTTGTGTCCCCCCTAGACTCTTGGCTTCATGGGGCCAGGTCACATGGCTCATCGCTGCATCTCCGGCATCTACGGTGTCCTGTCTGTTTTACTGAGTGAACTATGTCACCTGGTTTATTACATTATTATAATATTACATTATTACATATTATACATTGCAGAGGAAAGGGTGGGGCATAGGTAGATTGTAAGACAAGAGGATGCGGGGAAAGACTAGAAAACTTTGGATTAGAACTCTGCTAAGCTCGTAGGAATTCAGCTGGGGCATGGTAAGGTGGAAAATACTTCTATCTGGGGGCTGTTCATTTAATGCAGTTTTTGTTTTTGTTTTGTTTTGTTTTTAAACCTAATGTTACCTCTGTACTCATTTACCTACACTTTAGTTGGAAATGAACTCCATTATTCCAAAGACTGTAGTAGATACTAATAGTCCATTTCTGGAAGAATTTTTAGTTGGGCATGTGGCCACCCAAACTATGTTTCCCAGCCTTCTTTGAAGATACGTGCATGTGCCCAATGGCCCCGCAATCTTAAGTAGAAATATTATGTCCAACGACCAAGCCTCTCCTTAAAAGGAGAGGGGCATGTCTTCTACCTCCTCTCTTCCCAGATCCCTCTGGCTGGAATGTGACATTGGTTGGGAGGCATCCCTGGCCATATGGACAAGGCTGTACCCCGGGGATAGTAGAGCCACAAGACAGACGTGGCCTGGGCTTGGCACCAAACACTGGACAGTTTCACTTGAACTGCTGATGTAAGAGAGACCCGTTTCCCTTTGGGACTAGCAGCTGAATCAATACCCTAATTCTGACATCCAGCCCTGAGCAGTCAGAAAGGAAGGGAATAGAAACATCATCCATGGGTTAGTGGCCTGGTGGTAAAAAATGTGACCAAGTCACCTCATTTGTAGAATAAATGACAGTACTCTGGCTCTCATAGTAATTCCTGTTTGGTAAATGGGAATAGTTCAAGAAGTTCTTCCTTATCACCTTCCTACTCCGCATTTCCTTACATGGAGTAGAGGCAGGGATTGAAAGCTCTGGACTTGGCGCCAGACAACCCTGAGTCTGAAATTTCAGCCCTATCATTGACCATCTAAATAGCGTCTCCATACCTAGGTCATAAGGCTGTTGTGAAGATGTAGTGAGATAAGATGCACAGAACACAGCCAGAGGAAGCACTAAATAACAGTGTCCTATACTACCGTTTGTGTGCGTAGGACTTTTCCCCTAGCAACGGACAGAAACCTAATTGAAACTGGCTTTCAGATTTTGTGATCTCTTAGCAAATCCCTGGGTATTGTTTGGCATCGCAGGTAAAGGGAGTCTGTCCAAAGGGAAGGAAAGGGCTGGCTGTGTGGATTCCTGCATTTTGGTCTTGGTGACCATCTATTCTTATTGAAAATTAGTATATTTATGGTTTTATAGCTCAGTTTTATGAACCTTGTCATTATAAACCTGACCTAGAGAGATGGTGCTTCCCTCATCGTGATAAAATCTAGTTCTTGGGTGAGGATCATGGTCAGACCCTTGGTCAACATGAGTTCTCCGTGGTAATGAATGTTCCCTATGAGGCCTCTTAAGATTGCCTAACAGTGTTTCCCTGGACAAAACCCTAATTCTCTAGGCCAAGACATCATCACTGTTTTTTTTTTTTTTTTTTTTTTTAATAATAAATAAAATAGGGGCACTTGGGTGGCTCAGTCGTTAGGCATCTGCCTTCAGCTCGGGTCATGGTCCCAGAGTCCTGGGATCGAGCCCCGCATCGGGCTCCCTGCTCAGTGGGGAGTCTGCTTCTCCCTCTCTCCCCCCCCACGCTTGTGTTCCCTCTCTCGCTGTGTCTCTATCAAATACATAAATACAGTCTTTAAAAAAGTAACAATAATAAATAAAATAAATGAATAAGCAGGAATGAACAAAATTTAATTTTTTTTTGTTTTAGATAATACTTAAATATTAAGAAAGCTAAAATTTAAAAATTCACAATATGCAATCAAATGCACAATATGTTGGCTACGTTTTTCTATATATTATATTTACATAATGATTCTAATTTTACCTTTCCAAGAACAGTTGTCCAGGAGGAAGGGAAGGCAACCTATAATAGTCTCTGGGGCTTATACTGTCTTCTCAGGCCAGGTGTCCTATAGCAAAGAATTGAAGTGAAGCAGCAAGTGACCCTCTCCTCCCATCTCCCCTTCTCCCTGTTGTTTTTCTTTGAAGCATTCTGAATAACAAATGCACAATTAGATTTGGATATAAAAGCTAGACGACTACCGTAGTTCAGAACTGTATTTCATTGGAGAGGCCCTGGCACAGACAGGATGGGAATTGCTCCCTCATCTATAGGGACGCTGTGATAGAAATCAGAATCGCACATAAAAGTCATCTGGGATCTCTGAGCAAAAGCATAGCTAGCATCAGCTCCGTAAAATGAGGGGATTTGATCAGACAGGCTGTCATGTGGCATCTGGTCCAGAAGGCTAGCTTCTGAGCTCCACTCGTTGGGGCAGGGAGGACTTGCCCTCTCTGCTAAGGCGGATGTAGGAAGGAAAGTCTATCATCCTGTGGCACCAGCCTCCTGATGTAAAAAAGAACTACACTGAGGGTAAATTAGGTCAATAAAGTGAAAATTTTTACCATACTTGCGCGGTAAATGAATATTCAATAGTTTAAAATGTATGTACTATAGAACTGTGGCAAACTATAGTCTTAAATAAACCAAAGACAGTCCCGTGGGCATATTAAATTTGAGAGTAAGCCCAGTGATTTACTAAATCCTGAGAGCCCACAGTCTGCCTGTCCATTATATAGTTTTGTCCAGGTCACCTGGACAAGGGTATTTCTTGTTTCGTGGAGGCTCTGAAACACTTAAAAAAAAAAAAAAAAAGGCATTAAGAAATTATGACTCGAGGATTTTAAACCCTAATGTTACAGGCAAAGCCTCATTTTTACGGAATATAAAACACTCTGTTTCTTCCACTTCTAACAGCTCATTAAGAGAAGCCACTACTAAATCATGTTCCTGCAGCATTTCCGGGTAGCGGGACCCAGCTCGCTCAATCCTTGCTGAACGCCGCACCGGGGTAATGAGCTTCATGTCTTGTACTTCTGGCATTCCACTTATTCTGTGAGACAGAAAGATGCGTTCAGAATCTTATAACTTCTTTTGAAATTCTTATTATTCTGAATTTTTTACTTCTGTCCTAATAAAACACGGTAGGCACTTCAATGGAAGTTGACCTAAGGGTCTGCGTAGAGCAGCTCTTGTCCTAAGATGGCTCTTCCTTGATTGTCAGAATGAACTGGGTGGTGTCCATCTGCTCTCGGATGGTATAAGCACAGGGATTTATTGAATGAAGTGTTAAGTGTGGTTTTTATTTGATACTTGGCAGTTGGTGTTTGTTTATTCCATAAACTTTCGAAGAGTTGATAGGTTTTAAGGAAATTGGGCCTAACACCAAATGGGGTTGGACAAATGAATTCTAAGAGTCTAGCTTTGACAGAAAATTATCAAAAAAACATCTTTTAAGATGGTGGACCAAATCACAAATGGAAACTGGAACAAACTGGGCAACTTCCTTGTAAACTTTAATGTGTTCCAATAAAAAGTAGCCCTGAGGATAGTTTGCAGAGAACTTTCCATGTAGTGAATCTGGTCTACATCTCACAAACCCACTGATTACATTAGCCTAAGCAAAACTTAGCAGGCCAGTCTGCTAAAAACTCTCATAATAAATTCCAGAGCCAGAAAGAGGTGGTTTTCAGATCTGCTTGCCTTCATCCTTCCTTGAGTTGGCTGTAAAGCCAGGACTGAGAGAGGGGTTTAGGACTGGAAGAGGCCCAGCTTTCCAGGGAATGGAAATATAGAACTGTGTGGTCGTGGTGCTTTTGTTTGGAATTCTCTTTTAAGATCACGAACAGAGACGGATGTTATATTAATGTTTTGGGAAATGGCACTGATACCTGACACAGTTCCTGTGAATTCTGCCTTAAACTTATACTTATTCAAACACCAAACACTTTCAATAAAACGAGCAGCTTCTATCTCGTACATACCCAACAGCGGAGCCTGTTCTTATAGGGTTATTCGCTGTCCCTTCCCTCCTACAGCTAAAGAGGTTGCCCCTGCTTGGCACTCTGTGTCCCCGCCTCAGGGCCTGGGAGGAAAGGCGGGTGGGATCTGTAAGTGCAGGACCAAATCCAGGAGGGAGGGGAAACCCATTCCGACCTGTCTCCAAACTCCAGCACCACCTTCCTCATGGCGGGTCAGGTCTCCTTGGAGTGCTGTGAGGGCGATGGTGTGTGTGCACAGAAAGGGCACAGGTCTTCATGGTAATGGTTCCAACCCTCCCCTCACCCTCAGCTCCTTTCCTTAATGCCAAAGATGGATTAGACCACCTGGTCCTCACATGACGCAGGGGTGTCCACAAACTGCTGGTACTCTGGATCTGTGGAAGTGAAACTGAGAACAGGGCTTGAGTTAGACCCGTAAACACAAAGCTTACTTTAGAGTTTGCTTACCTAGGGATTGGGGCAATCTGTAATTTGATACCAGGATGATTATCCTGTTCTGCCTTGGTTACTTGGGGTGTTGCTATAACCTGGTCTCCCTCTTTCAGAGAAAGACAAGACTTTTCAGATTCCGTCTTATTGGCCAGTTCTGCTGTTGCTGTTATATTTGTCTCAGCAACTGAAGAGTCAGAGGTAACTCCTGTGTATGCAAGGTCAAGAAGGAAAGTAAGGTTTAGCAACTTAATACTAAAACTAAAAGTCAATAAAATGAAAAATCAATATACACAATGATTTCCCAATTTAAAAAAGAGTAACTGATTTGAAGTGAGAGGTATAGTTTTTCCTGCCCAGCCCTCTAGAAATGCCCTGCTACATCAGGCCATCCTTCTAACCAGCCCTCCAGCCTTCGGGCCTTCTTGGCCCTTGAGATGGATCCTTGATAGCTTTTCAACATTCTGAACACATCCCCACGTCTTACTCGCTCTTGAGAGAGGTTCCCTTAGGGACTAGTCATTGTCCTTTTATCCTTATACCATACCTTGGGTCAATTTCCTTGACTCACTAGGGTTAACTCACTTAACCTTCCAATCCCTTCCTACCCAGGGATGACCACATGGCTATTACCTTGGGCAGTGGGCGAGAAAATGTCTTGTGTTAACATAATATACATGATAGCTCAATCACAGCAACCAAAAGGAAGGGAAGGAAATTAGACTGAGGTAGGCAGATATTGTGGCTGGAGGCTAAGACCCTAAAAGAGGTCAATGGGGGCCAAGAAGTGGGAAAGGCAGATTCCTGTCTTTTTTCTTATCCCTCTGAAGAACAATGCCATGAATTATAAACAAATATCTGAATAGTAGCATCATTCCCAGTATAAGAGTACCACTGAGTATATCTACTCTGTGACCTTATTCCCAAAAGTAATAGATTAGTTAGCTATCATTCCACATGACTTGATTGTTCCCCGAAGTTCAACCTGTCTTAAAGGAAGAACATCTGTCACCTTCTAAGATCGGAAAAATAATCTATTTTATTTTCTCAAAGTAGCTTCTTTTTCTTTCCATTCATATAACAAATATAAGCAATTATAGTGGGCCACTCATTGTATTTGGCACAGTATTTTTCAAAGAAGAGTTTTCTAAAGGTTCTGACCAATGACAGCAACGGTTAGCTAAGTGAAAAGGTTCCTGCTCCAGCTATTTTTTTTTTAAGATTTTATTTATTTATTTGAGAGAGAGAGAGAGAACACAAGCAGGGGGAGCAGCAGAGGCAGAGGGAGAAGCAGGCTCCCCACAGGGAGCCTGATGTGGGGCTTGATCCCAGGACCATGAGATCATGACCTGAGCCGAAGGCAGACGCTTAACTGCCTGAGCCACCCAGGAGCCTCTGTTTTTAAAGGCTATAATGTGAATTTGGATGTGTGAGTGCTGGTGGGTTGTTATAACACAGAGGCATCTCTCTCTTCTGCCTCAGTCTTGTCTGAGAAAGAGCTACTTGTCTTATCCCACCTAGCACTCCAGGGAAGCAAGACACCCTACTCTAGGCCGCTCTTATGAAAACAACCTATGTTTGGTGTTGAGCAGTATATTTACTTATAATAATAGAAATAATTCAGCTGATGATGATGGCTGAAAAAACCAGGCTATGAAAACCAAGAAGTGAGAGGGATTTCAGGGGACTTAAAATTCTTTTCTTTTCTCTCCTATGTGTTCCTCCACGACTTTTACTTGAGCAGCTGGAGGGAGTAAATTTAAATAAAAAAATAATAGTACCTTCTGTCGTTCTATTTGGGTCTTGCAAAATATTAAGAACAACTTCCCGTAACTCTTGTATCGGCTGGAAGGAAGAAAATACACAACCAGTATTAAAAACATTCATGGAGAAAATGATCTAAGGAACTTTGCTTAACAACAAATGAGCTTCTTTTTATAATAGAAAATGTTTCCTTTTAAAAAATCTCTTATCTGACTATAAGTAACATTTAAAAAGTTTCAAATTTATAGCTTTATGTGAAAAACGAAGGAACAAAGAAAATGTTGGTTAAATGCTGGCATGCTTGACTTTAACGAAGAAATGCACATATGGAAAGCTGTCTGTAGTGACATTTCTCTAAATCAGTTAATTTTCTTATTGACTTATATGATCCCACTGAAGATGTGTCCCCACATAAAGATTCTGGCCCAAAGATGTAAAGTTAGTTATACAAAAATGCAGCATACGTTTTTTTCAGTCCTAACTGAATTTTTGTTTTTATCATAAAAGTCATATCTCATTACAGAAAAGTTGAACAATAGCCAAACTTAAAAGGAGAAATCACCCATAATCCAATCACCCAAATACAGCCTTTAGTTAGCATTTTGGATATTTCCCCTAACCATTCCTTTCTTTCTTCTTTTATTAATAACTTAAAAAACATAACATTAAACATAACATATAAAATACAATATTAAACATAACATAAAAAACAAAACATTAGAAAAAAGCCATTATTATTAAAAGTACTTTTCTGGTAAAATTATCTGAGATAGACTTCCTTTTTCAAAGTATCTAAGCCATGACATGAAGTAGAGTACCATAAATGAACTGTAATTTCTCATAGGAATATTATATTTGGAGCTTTGTCTTTCTGATCTGGGATTCTGTATCAAATAAATAATAGATGTAAACTGACAATAGAGCATAAAAGCAAAGCTATTTATACATTTTCACTAAGTCTAATGTGCTTTAAGCTTAAGGGAATGGGAATAAATGTACAGAATATATTGTAAAAAGTCTGAATTACATAAAACATTTATCAAACATTTTATATTTTTACAGGTTTCTAGTTAAAGACGATGGATTGAATATATATTTGTTTCTAATCCCCATGGAAACTCTAGTGAAATGATAATGGGATTAAAGGAGGCAATAACTACAAAGAATAGAAGAAATAGCAACAAGATCTGGAAGCTAGAATGTAGAAGGAAGAGGTAACCAACTTAACCAGCTTGAAAGAGCTGAATCCTAAGCTGGCAATGTGGCTGAGAAACGACATGATTCAACCCCAGGGCCTTTCTGAAAGGCTCAAGAATGAATGGTGGGGTCAAAATCTGGAGGACTCTTGAGCATCTGTTCAGCAGTCAGACCTGCAAGTCTTTTTTTTTTTTTTTTTTTAAGATGTTATTAATTGAGAGACAGAGCACAAGCCGGGGAAGAGCTAGAGGCAGAGGGAGAGGGAGAAGCAGACTTCCTGCTGAGCGGGAAGCCCAATGCGGGGCACAATCCCAGGATCTTGAGATCATGACCCAAGCCAAAGTCAGATGCTTAACCAACTGAGCCACCCAGGTGCCCCTCCAAGTCTTTATCCTAACAGAAAACTGAAGATGTATTTTCCAGGTCTCTGGGGAATATCATGCACTATTGAGGGTGGGGATGCCCACTGAAAAAAAAGGTAAATGAAAGTTTCCATGCTGAAGGTTGAGACTCCCAGCTCTCTTCTCCCCCACAACACTAGTAGCCTGGTTTCCAGCTCCCAGGAAGAAACTGGAAGATTCTTCTTTAGAGAATATGGCCAGTTCTAGAGGAAAGATCTGAAGACACTGATAATGAGGGTTCTTCAACCAATTGGCTCAGCCAGATCACCCTATGGTAAAACCTCATTCATGTGTCCAGAGCTTTTTCTTTCTTTTCTTTTCTTTTCTTTTCTTTCTTTTTTTTCTTTCTTTCTTTCTCTCAAGATCTTATTTATTTGACAGAGAGAGACCCAGTGAGAGAGGGAACACAAGCAGGGGCAGTGGGAGAGGGAGAAGCAGGCCTCCCGCCAAGCAGGGAGCCCGATGTGGGGCTCAATCCCAGGACCCTGGGATCATGGCCTGAGCCGAAGGCAGATGCTTAAAGACTGAGCCACCCAGGTGCCCCGTCCAGAGCTTTTTCAAATCCACCTCTTTGTATACAGCCCAGTTTTTACTGGAATCTGAGTAGAGCCTTTCATGAACAATAGAAAACAAAAGAAAATAAAACTACCACTACCATCAATAATAACACAAAACAGAGAGAAGAAAAGCATTGGGGTGGGAGGGGCGCCTAGGTGGCTCAGTGGGTTAAGTGTCAGACTCTTGGTTTCAGCTCAGGTCATGATCTCATAGGTCATGGGATTAAGTCCCGAGTCAGGCTCTGTGCTCAGCAGGAGCCTGCTTGAAGATTCTCTCCCTCTGCCCCTCCCCCATGCACACATGCACGCTCTTTCAAATAAAAATAATAAAATTAAAACAAAACCAAAATAAAACCACCACCCTCCCCCCCCCACTACCACCAACAATGAAAAACAGAGAGAAGAAAAGCACTGGAGAAGAAAAACAGACAACACAGATGGAAATGGGAATGTGAGGGTGATGGTGAAAGGCCCCAGGATGACATGCAAAGACGGTGGTAAAGAGCAACCTGTCGAGACTGGAACATGTCACAAAGTTCTGGGAGAAGGGTCTCTAAGAAAAAGAAATCGATAGGCTATCTGATGTTTTAAAAGTATTGAGAAATTTTGGACCTCATCAAGATGAAAAGCTTCTGCACAGCGGAGGAAACAATCAACAAAACTAAAAGGCAACCAATGGAATGGGAGAAGATATTTGCAAATGACATATCTTATAAAGGATTAGTATCCAGAATCTATAAAGAACTCATCAAAATCAACACCCCAAAAATAAATAATCCAAATAAGAAATGGGCAGAAGACACGAACAGACATTTCTCCAAAGAAGACATACAAATGGCTAAGAGATACATGAAAAAATGCTCAACATCACTTGGCATCAGGGAAATACAAATCAAAACCACAATGAGATACCACCTCCCCACCTGTAAGAATGGCTAAAATTAACAACTCAGGAAATAATAGTTGTTGGTGAGGATATAGAGAAAGGGGAACCATTTTGAATTGTTGGTGGGAATGCAAGCTGGTAAAGCCATTCTGGAAAACAGTATGGAGATTCCTCAAAAAGTTAAAAATAGAACTACCCTAAAACCCAGCAATTGTACTATTGGGTATTTATCCAAAGGATACAAAAATGTTGACTCAAAGGGGCACATGGACCCCGATGTTTATAGCAGCACTATCTGCAATAGCCAAATTATGGAAAGAGCCCAAATGTCCATCAACTTATGAATGCATAAAGAAGATGTGGTATATATATGCACAATGGAATATTACCCAGCCATCAAAAAGCATGAAATCTTGCCATGTGCAACAACGTGGATGGAACTAGAGTGTATTATGCTAAGTGAAATAAGTTAAGTCAGAGAAAGACAAATATCATAAGATTTCACTCATATGTAGAATTTAAGAAACCAAACAGATGAACATGGGGGAAGGGAAGAAAAAATAAAATAAGATGAAAACAGAGAGGGAGGCAAACCGTAAGTGACTCTTAACTATAGAGAATAAACTGAGGGTTGCTGGAGGGGTGGTGGGTGGAGGGATGGGTTAAATGGGTGATGGGCATTAAAGAGGGCACTTGTGTCACCACTTGGTGTTACATGTAAGTGATGAATCACTAAATTCTGCTCCTGAAACCAATACTACACTATATGTTAACTAACTTGAATTAAAAAAAAAAGTATTGAGAAATTTAGACAATTAGAGAAAAGTTCGGAATCAATTATATACTAATAAATATTCAGAAAACTAAGCAAAGGGAAAACAAGACAATAATTAACTTCAGGAAAAGTAGAAAGTCATGCTTGAAAGGCAAGATAACCTTAGTATATATTACGTGGCTCAATGTATTCATGTATTTCTTACATATTCATAACAACATGAATACAGGATTATTCATAACAACAGTGACCAGGTTTTCCATATGACTCTAATATGAAAGGGGGAAACTCACTGTTGCCCCCTTTCCATGCTATTACTTTCCACAAGTGCATATTTCTACATTGAGTGTAAAGTGAGACACACTCACTTGACAAGAACAGTGATTCTATTAGTTTACATGAAACACTACTTATACCAAATAAATTAAAAAATTTTTTTTAAAGATTTATTTATTCATTTGAGAGAGAGAGAAACAGAGAGGAAGAGAGAGTGTGTGAGTGGTGGGGGAGAGTCAGAGGGAGAGGGAGAGAATCTCAAGCAGACTCCCTGCTGAGTGGGGAATGGGGAGCCCAACACGGGGCCGATCACATGACCCATGAGATCATGACCTGAGTTGAAATCACGAGTTGGACACTTAACTGACTGAGCCACCCAGGCGCCCCTCTAGCAAGTACATTTTTAATTAAATGTACATAAAAGACATGTTGTGCTTCATAATCTGTGTATAACCTTATGAAGTGAATTAGAAGTTTAACATAACATTGTATGACTGCCATATGGCAAAAAACAGACAACTCGCATGAGAGAATTTTCAGGAAGTCATCCACCCAAGACAGATACTCACTGTTGCCCCGTTTCTAATGGCCTCTTCGTACAGCCCAATAACATCAAAGGTGCCTTTACTTGCCAACAACTTTGCTTTACAGATCCAGAATTTAGCAAATTTTTCGACCTCAGGAATACTGGACAATATGGTAAATATTGCATTAGAAGGTACACCCTGTAAAAAAAAATACCCAGAGGTAATTATTACCATTTTGCTGTTATTCTTATATCGAATATTCATCAGAGCAGTTATGCAGAAATCAGTCTGATCACTTTTTCTTAATTTTTAAAAAAATTCAATTTTACTGAGGTACAGTTTACATATAATAAAATGTATCCATTTAAACAGTATATTTCAGTGAGTTTTGACACTGGTCATTCAATTTTAAGAGTTACATGAGACCAAATAGTAAAATGTTTTTCATAGCTGAAGGTAAGGAGTATGTTTACATTTTTATGCAAAACCAAACCCCAAACCAAACCAAACCCTAGAGTAATCAACATTCATATATTTCTTACATATTCATAATAATGTGAACACTGAATAGTGAGTAGAATTTCCATATGTCTCTAACAAAAGTATGAAGGATGGCACAGGTAAGCAAGGGTCATAGGGGTGTGTGTTGGGGATCCATGCAGCCTAATTCTCACAAAAAGTATCTTTATAATGTCCTAATTTGGTCCCCTTCTGGCTTGTACCCAGAGCGGGCAGTGACATGGACCAGGAGGAATATGGGGAGCTACCATGACCAGAAACCCAGATACTGGCACACTCAGCTAAGCAGCACCTCCTAGTCCTCCTGAGTTGGGGAAGCCCCAAAGGTAAGCTCACAATCAAGAATCATCAATGTTTGAGAAAACCAACACTACACGAAAGAGGCATAAAACTCAACAGAGTTGAAGAAGAAATCAACGAGCTGAAAATTTGGCTGTGGAATTCTCCCAGAACTCAGTGCGACAGAACAAAGAAACGAAGAGTATGAAAGAAAAGTTAAGCGTTCTGGAGGGAATATCTATTACTCAGGAATTGCAACATCCATCTAAGAGATGGAACATTCACCACGACCGATCGGACATTAATTTCAACAAATTCTATCAAGCAGAACACATACAGGCTACATTTACAATGCAGTATAATTAAAAGTTGGAAGAAAGTCAGGAAAAACAAAACAAAACAGAACTCTATCTGGAAGTTAAAAGATATTCTTCTAAGATAACTTTCAGGTTAAAGAACTCAAAATGGAAATCTCAAACTATTTAGAGATGAACAATAATGAAAATGCATGTCAATTATTAACCTATGGCCTCCTAGCTCCAAACCAATCTTTTATCCTCTGCTTTGGGACACTAGGGCTGGAATTCTGTAAATCACCCACTGTTTTCACAGCAGCTCCTTGCTGGGCTCTGCCAGTCGGGGGAGCTAGAGGGAGACTGTGGGGATGGAGAAGAGAGGGACTTCCTCTTTCCCATTTGCCTTTGCTACCTCAACAACGGTCCTTCATTGTGGCAGCAGTAGTTGGTTCTAGCCTCCACCTCTTTTCCTGGCACTTACAGATCCTGCCTCACTGTGCTCTTTCAGAGGCAAGAGCACCAACTGGGTAGCATCCTTTCCTCAAGGTCTGAGTCCCAGCCCTGCTGGGCCCCTCCTCCAGTTTCTGGTACCAGCATCTGCTGGGTAGTATGGCCTCCTTAGAGTTGGAGTTTGTTTCTCCTAGCTTCTAGATTCTAATACCCTCAACCTCTCTTTGTTCCCCTTAGACGCAGTGGATGATAGCCGCTACCTGAAGTTAGCGCCTCTGTTACCTCAGGTTCCTTTTTGCTGTCAGCTCTGTGTGGAGTACCCATATTTCCTCTGATGGTCCCTTTACCATTTTTGTGCACGCAGGCTCACAAAGTGCTTTCATATCCAACAGCCAGCATCTGCTCCTCTTTGTATGTACCAGAGAGTCAGGGTGCCTGGGAATTTTTGTCTCCACAGGGGTAGCCATTAATCAATGCCCTGGAAGTATTAATACTATAGCTTCTTTGCCCCTGATCAGGATGCCTCTGAGAGGTCTGATCCAGTCTCCAGAGCTCCCCTGTGGGATTGTGCCACAGTTATATTCCATGGATTTTGCTTGATACCACATCCCACTTGTCTTCCTTCCCTTCCTGGCTCCACATCCCCACTCCCCTCTGTTTTCCTTGGGATCCTCTTCCTAATAAGTTACTTTCACACAAATTCTCCTCTTAGGGTTTGCTTCTAGGGAACTTACATAAGACATTGTGAAAACAACCTTTACATTACATTCTTTCTCTTAAGATACCTGGTGCAGTTTCTGTTTTTCTGAGTTGACTTTGACTAATACAGAACTTTACCTAATCAAACATAAAGGGTATGACCAAAGCTAAATTCAGAAGCATATTTATAGCATTAAAATGTATTTTAAGAAAATAAGACTGACATAAATGATTTAAGCTTTCAACTAAAAAGGCTAATTAAAAACAGTAACATAAAAATAGATGCAGACATTGATGCAAGAGAAAAAAAAAATCAATAAAACCCCAAAGATGGCCTTTTAAAAAGATTGATAGAGAAATCTTTAAATAAAAGGCACAGGGGAGGGCGCCTGGGTGGCTCAGTTGGTTAAGCGACTGCTTTCGGCTCAGGTCATGATGCTGGAGTCCCTGGATCGAGTCCCGCATCGGGCTCCCTGCTCGGCGAGGAGCCTGCTTCTCCCTCTGACCCTCCCCCGTCTCATGTGCTCTCTCTCTCTCATTCTCTCTGTCTCAAATAAATAAATAAAATCTTAAAAAAAAAAAAAAGGCACAGGGGCACCTGGGTGGCTCAGTCGTTAAGTGTCTGCCTTCAGCTCAGGTCATGATCCCAGGGTCCTGGGATCGAGCCCCACATCAGGCTCCCTGCTCCGCGGGAAGCCTGCTTCTCCCTCTCCCACTCCCCCTGCTTGTGTTCCCTCTCTCGCTGTGTCTCTGTCAAATAAATAAATAAATCTTTAAAAAAAATAAAAGAAACAGAATTACTAAAATTAGCTTGGGAAATACAAAACCCAGATAGACCAATGCCCACAGAAAAAATTGAAAAGATATACCCCAAACTATGCCCCATAGTCCAGATAACTTTATGAGCAAGTTCTTACCAAACCTTCAAAGAAAAAATCATTCTCATGTTGTATAAACTATTTTCAGAGTATAGGAGAAGAGGAAAATGCCCAACTTATTTGACAAAGCCAGCATAATACGAATATTAGGGAAACATAAGAAAAGACAACCAAAGAACATATATAAAAATCTGAAATAAAATAATTGCAACTCACAAAACTATATACTTCATTTCTTTATGTGCCTACATGGTATGTACCTTCATAAAAGCTGTCTGGATGGATAACTGGCAATAGTGGTCAGCTCTAGGGAGAAGCCTGGGATGCATAATTGGTGTGTGTGCATGCGCAGACGGGTTCGGTGGGGAGGTCTAGTCATTTTCTGTATTGCTTGAAATGTTTTTATTTTTAATTCTATTTATGATTATGATTATGATTATTATTTTTTTTTTGGAGAGAGGGGGAGGGAGGGGCAGAGGGAGCCAGAGAATCTTAAGCAGTCTCCATACGCAGGTGCAGTGCAAAGCCTGACATGGGGCTCAATCTCATGACCCTGAGATCATGACCTGAGCTGAAATCAAGAGTCTTGACGCTTAACCAACTGAGCCACCCAGTTGTCCCTGAAATATTTTTTTAATAATTAGAATGTATTCATGGGGGTGCCTGGGTGGCTCCGTCCATTAAGCGTCTGCCTTCGGCTCAGGTCATGATCCCAGGTTCCTGGGATCGAGTCCCACATCAGGATCCCTGCTCAGTGGGGAGTCTGCTTCTCCTTCTTCCTCTGTAGCTCCCCCTGTTTCTCTCTCTCTGTCAAATAAATAAATAAAATCTAAAACAAAAAATTGTTAAAGAATGTATTCATGCATTTTCTTTAATACAATGAAAATAAAAGAGCAACAACAAAAAAAGAATTGAACTTTAATTCCATAAAAGAGAAATAATTAATGTTTAACTGAATTGTTTGAAAAAACTGCCTGCAGTAGACCTAAATTGAAGGTTTCCTTTTTCTGTTGCTGTCCAACACCACCAGCCAAAGGACAGAATGGGTTTGCTTCAGGCAAGGACCTTAGTATAGATGTCTACCCAATTGTTTTTTATTAATATATTTTTCCTTCAAGGCATCTCCTAGGGATCATATCCTTTGCTTACCATCTCCTTTATCCTTATCTGCAGAATCCCAGATACAATTTAGATGCCATTTATAGCTACCCAGAGTCATCAGGATAAATTAATTCTACACATGACCTTGCCTTTGACTTCAGCTTCATGTCCAAATGTCAAGTATTTACTCCTTGACCTTAATGCCTAAAGAAGGCAAAATTCCTTTTGGATCCCTTGAGAGGCAGATTGCTTGGGTTAGTTTTCCAACTTCTATGTGCCTCAGTTTCATTTGTAAAGTGGGCATGGTAATAGTTGTTATGATAAATGTATGAGATCATTTAAGTAAACTGTTAGAAAAGTGCCTGGCATATAAGAGCCTTTATTTAAGTGCATGCCATCATTATTATTACTATTCTTCTTCTGTATTAAAAAGAGCAGATGAATTTCTGCTTAGACCAAGGTTATCTCTCTTACACCATATTTAAGAAAAATATTTAAAAACTCTAAGACTCTAGGCCAAAGCTTTGGGAGCTTATCCTCCTTACCTCCTCAATGAGCTGCAGACATTGTGTTAGAGTGTTGTTAATTTTATTGGACAGTTCAAGTTGTGCTTTCTTTTCTTCATCTTCTTCTTCCATACTCTTCCAGAATGAAATATTCATTTCCTCTATTATTTTTCTTTTTGTTTTAAGTTCCATGGGAGGCCGTTTATAGATCTTCCCCTTGGATTTCTGCCATTCTTCCAGTTGTTTCCTGTTATAAAATTAAGAGTGGGGCGGGGTGAGAAAATGCTTTAGGTTTCTTTTTGTATATAGTCACACTTTCAAAGTATAAGATATGCATGGATTGAGTACCACTACATACCTTCAACTACACACAAAGTCAGGAGAATGGAATTAAAAACAATTTACAAATGGGTAATGGCAGCAATGGTTGCCCCTACCCTTCAGAAGGCAGGCTGCAGAGGGATTACTAGAATCTCAGTCTTCAAATTCCTTGAATTCATGATTATTCTTCATTATTTTTCTCTAAAAATTTTCATTTCACCTGTATATTACTTCTGGTACTTGCTTTCCGAAGACATCCCTCCATCTCTGAGATCACAAACTCAGCACTTCATTTATCTTACCATAAGCTCTCTATCTGCCATTCAACCAGACCCACCAAACCTGCATTCTGTCCTTAGTAGGGTCTTGGCCACAGTGACCCACTTTGCCCAGTTCCTTAGCCCTCTCCTGACCACACATGACCCCCTTTCTTCCTAAACAAGGTCAATAATTTCAGGAGTCTTAAGTAGCTAGTGTCTGATGGTGGCCAAATCTTAATTCTCACTCTCCTCCACCATTCACATTCTCCACTCCTCCTTCTAAGCAGTCAATAGACTACGGTTGGAGGAGGCACCAAGAGGCATGGATTCAAGCATGTGAATGTAGGCTCTTCAGCTTCTTTAAATTACTACATGTTTATAAATCATAGATGTACATTTCAAGCCAGATTTTTTCCTAGAGACTTAAACTTTATAAAACCCACTGCCTAGTTGGTATTTTTTATTTGAGGTCTGTCAGTCACTTCAAATTTAATACTGTCTAAAACAAAGGTCTTGATTTTCATCTCCAAACCTGTTCCCAAATAGCCTATATTGGGGAATAGTACCCCAATCTACCCCATTGTTAGGACCTAGAACTAGGAGTTGTCTTGATGTAGTTCTTTCTTTCCCTCACATCTGACATACCATTGTACAGGCAGTAGTCTTCTATCTCTACTGTCGCCATCCTAGTCCATATCACTGTCACCTTCTGCTTGAAATGCCATAGCAGCTTCCTTCCTAACTCAAGTCCTTGCTTCCACTCTCACCCTTGTCAAATTCATCATGTGCCTAGTAGCCAGAGTGGTTTTTAAAGTGTAAAGCAGACCGTATCACTGCCAGAAACTTCCCATGGCTCTTGGAATAAAATTAAACATGTTTCCATGGCAGAAAGGCAGTGTAATTTGGCTCCTGCCTGCCTCTCCAACCTCATGTCCTACCACTTTCTCTCTTACTCTTTCCCCTCCGGGAGCTTTGGTATCCCTTCTGTTATTTGACCCACACTCATTCCTGTCTCAGGGTCTTGAATTATCATCTTCATTCAGTCCTCTGCTCAAATGACACCTCTTTGAAGAGGTAATTATGTGTAATTATTTTATTTCATCAGCGTGTTGATTTTCTGTCTTCTCCATTAGAATGCAAGTTCTGTGAAGGTAAAAACCTTGGATGTCCCAGTGCCTAGCTCAGTGTCTAGAACCTACAAGTGTTCAGTAACATACAGCAAAATTCACATTTTTTTTTTAGTGTACAGTTCTGTGAGTTTTGACAAATGCACAAAGTCATGCCATCACAATTATAATCAAGATATAATCCCTTCAAAAATTCCCTCATGCTTCTTGATAGTCAACCCTGCTCCTCATTCCCAGCTCCTGGTGATCACTGATCTGTTTTCTGACCTTATGGTTTTGCTTTTTCCAGAATGTCAATAACTAATTAACCCTCGTTTCTCTCCTTGACTGCAGAGCACAATCCATAGCGCTATTTCAGCCGCAACTGCTCTGACTCCTTCACCTTCATGCTAACCACCTGCTTAATGACAGAAGCTGAGATGTCTGGCCTGTGTTTCCTCTATGTTCCTGGCATTCTTCCTCTCTCAGCCTTCCTTCCAATCATAATGAAGAGGAAACTTACCTTTTTCTAAAGCCAATTTACTCCCAGGACCTCAATGCTATGATTTTATTATTCTAGTACTTTCCATATAGACACCAGAAAAAAAGCTCCGTTAGGGTAGACTGTGACTGTGTGCTCACCACTGTATCTCCCAGTGTCCAGCACACTGTAGGTGCTAAGGAACACTAGATCAATGAGTGAGTGATCTCTCTCCAGAGATTCCTCTTGTGTAATCAAACACAGTCAGCACTCCACACACTGTCTTAAAGACCCATCATCCCATTATCTGGTCTAGACTATGAACTCCAGGGGAGGGACCCTGACATCCTCATTCACCAACTCGGAGTCTTTGTACTCAGTTTTCATTTTGCTCAGAAGGCTCATCCTTCTTTTTGCCACTATCCTTTTCCTAGACCAGATATCACTGTTGAAATTACCTCCCTGATCCTTCTTTCTAAAGAAGTCAGCCCAGCCTCACTCTCTCAATCACATCACCCTAAATTAAACTGTGTATTTTCTGTCTCTTCAGGAGGGCAGAGAACTTGGTGGTGGTGTTCAGGGCTGTATTCAGAGTATAGATCCTGCCCTCACTTCATCCTGCTATACCTCTTAGCTACCATCTAATTTTACATGTTCCTTTCACCCTTGTCAGGAATCTCCTTATTTTCTATCCCACCCCAATGTACACAGGCACTTCTGGGAGGTTCACCACATTGTGAGACTCTATCTAGTCCTATGCAGACAAAATCCTTTGGCTTGGTTTCCAGCTACATGCATGTTAATGTGAACCCCCAGCACCCTGAGATCCCAATTTCTACTGTCTGAACTATGGATGTGAACTCATCGCTCCTCTATGTCTTAGCTTACTTTTCAAAACTTGGCCTGCTCACATTCATGGAAGTTTCCTTTTCCTTCTTCCCTGATAACTCTCCTGGATTCCCTGGTCTGCTTAACAAGGGACTACCAACTCCCTGCTTCCTAGCTATGTTAATTCACTACTCTGGCTCCTCCCACCTTGCCCTCTTTTATTGCTGTTCAGTCCCTGCAGGGTACTTCTTGAATGAGTAGTCTACATCTACAGCCCCTATTTCTTACTGAACCATTCTGTTTCAATTTCTTTTTTAAAAATAAATTATTTCAAGCATACAGAACATTACAGAGGGTAATTTATAACACATGTATGTCCGACCCAGCTCTATCAAGTCAGTATTTGTTGTATTTGCTTCCAATCTTCTTTTTTTTCAGGGTTGTAGCTAAAAATTACTCAGAAGCCATTATTTATGGCCTGAGTATTCCTGATGGTCAATTTGCCTAATCTTAAATTGCAAAATTATGGAATTAAGCAAAGTACCTTCGATCCTCTGCTGTGATCTTCTTAATATTTGGATTAGTCTGGGTCCCATTTGGGACTCTTCTTCCATTTATGGTTTTGTTACCAGCTTGAGTTTTGGGAGCTGTCTTATTAAGAAAATGGTTCTGGGGAAGAGTCTTTTTCAACTTGGAGTCCAAAGTCTGTCCTTTTTGTTGATAGCTGTTGCTGCATTTACTGCCATTGGTTCCATTTGCTGTTATGTTAGGGGTGCTTGGAATGACTGAATTAGAACTGCCAACTGCCAAATTAGGCCTTTGGCTTATGGCTTTTGATTTTTGCAATGCACATGATGTCCGAGTTCTAACACAAGGTTGAGTGGATTTCTGATCTTGCTTAATGTTTGGATGTCTGTTATTAAAGCCCCCCGGAAGCACACTGGGGCATGTCCAGGGTTTGGTTTGTTTTACTTTCTGTTCAGTAACAGTGTGTGACTGTAACTTAGTTTCATTTGGTCTTTCATATTTATCCCTATTAACCATTATATCCTTTATGTCCTTGACCACTGGTTTCTTTGATGCCTGATTCCTACTAAGGGTCTGAACATTGTGAGAGGGAACTGTCTTTGGGAGTTTTTCTCCTGGTCTTGCAAGATTTGTTCCTCTAGAGAGTTGCTGTGACTTTATTGGTGGTATCCTAATTTGTGTTTTTCCAACAAATTGTTTATTAACTCTGTCTTTCAGAACAGCACTATTCCCTGAACTTTTGCCCAAGGCTTGTTTAGGAGCGAAACTGCTCTTGACTTGATTATAAGTGTTAGTCTTTGGCTTACCTATTGTCCATAATTTAGGATTTGGCTTCCTTTCAGAGTCTGGTAAGGTTTGGGGCAAGTTCTCTTTGTTCATCTCTTTTAGACAGCTATCCAAGGGTTCATTTTCAACATGGTTATTGTCCACAGAGTCTGCACATTTAGTATTTCTTTGATCTGCGACTTGCTGCTTTGCAGTTTTCAATTCCTCTATATTAAATGACCCCACAGTTTTTCTAGATAGTTCTCCAATAGTGGATGATCCAGCTTTATGCTGTTGTCGACTATTGCTGGAAGGTTTACAGTTTGAGCCAGAAGAAACACATCCTGAGGTCAGCCTTTTGCCCCGAAGTTTTGGTGCCTCCAACTTTGGCTTTTGGGATTCTATGATATTGGCAGGTCTGGGTTGGAGTTTAATGCTGATGGGTCTTGTAGCTTTGATAGGCAAAGTAACACGATTGATAACATCCTTTTTGGGTATAATATTCTAAAAAGACAAAGAAAAATACCAAAAAAGTAAGTTCATAACAATAGCTCAGTTTTTAAAATAAAAAATTAGAAAAAAATTATTTAGAATTTCATTTAAGAAAGCTGAATCTGAGAAAATTAAGGCTCACTAATAGATGACCTATTTTAAAAAAAGATTTATTTATTTAATTTAGAGAGAGAGGGAGAGCGCGTGAGCAGGGGGAGGGGCAGAGGGAGAGGGAGAGAATTTTAAGCAGACTCCTGCTGAGCGCAAAGCATGGAGACCAATGCAGGGTTTGACATGGGGATTGATGCGGGGCTCAATCTCATGACCCTGAGATCATGACCTGAGCTGAAACCAAGAGTCAGACGCTCAACCAACTGAGCCACCTGGTGCCCCTAGATGATCTTTATAACTTGAGCTCTTGTCAGAAATACACCAGAATTTTTAGCTTGATAGAATTAAGCAGAGATGCAGTGAATATACAAAAATTGCTGTTTAAAAAATAAATTTGCCTCCGTTGAACAAGTACTTGCTGAATGCCCATTATGTCCCAAATGAAGTGTCCTTCTAGGGACTTTTGAAAGATACATACATAATAAACTTATGTTAGGGTACCTCCCAAGTTCCTCCTAGTAGTACTGTGTATTGCTACACTAATTTTTTTTTTTTAACAACACTGCTTTTGTAAAGGTCACAGTGTCACTCAAGAACCTTCGTCTCATCCTTGGAGATCAGTGGCAAGGATAGATGGTAGATGCTGGGATGCCTGAGATACTTTGGAACAGTTTTCAAGACAATCTAACATCTCAGTAGAAAGTTAGTCATATTTGTAAAGTCAGGATAGGGTTTTAAGGTTAGACTCTATTATTAACAAGTACATGTTTCAGTCATGTGATTTAATCTTACATAAGAAAGGGAGGACTAGGTTATAGAGAACTTAAAAAACTAGGGATGGGAGTTTAGAATTGGTATGGTAAATAATTGAAGCAAGTCACTGTGGATTCCGGAGCATTTGCACTGAAAGCAAGTAGTCAGAAAGGAGAATTTGTAGATTGTATGTCTCTGGGGGAAGATATGGGAGGGCTAGAGTTACCACTCTTTACTTTTGATTTGGTAATATTGTTGAGAATTACTATGTAAACTTTGTAAATGTGTAAAGAAAGTCTGTAACCAGAACCACATGGCATTAAGGGCAAAAAGATGTTTCCTCTGGAATGTTATGTGTATGGAGGTGTTGCTGGGGTTGGAATAGGGGAGGGTTGGAAGTGGGAGGCAGGGAGATGGATGGTATAGCCACATGGCCATAGTTAGGTTATTCCTTGAGCCCAACAATTATATCCACCTCTGATCATTCCATTATTGCTTATTGAAGAGGCAGGGATGACGGTATCAGAGTTTCCAAACATATGCTATTCCTTAGTTTTTTTTTTTTTTTTTTTTAAGATTTTATTTATTTATTTGTCAGAGAGAGAGAGAGCACAAGCAGGGGGAGCAGCAGGCAGAGGGAGAAGCAGGCTCCGTGCTGAGCAAGGAGCCCGATGTGGGACTCAATCCCAGGACCCTGGGATCATGACCTGAGCCAAAGTCAGATGCTTAACTGACTGAGCCACCCAGGCATCCCTAGTTGTTCTTTTTTAAAAATTAAGATATAATTTGTATCCCACAGAATTCACCATTTTAAAGTTTATAATTCAGTGGGTTTTAGTATATTCACAGATTGTATAACTATCATCACTCTCTTGTTCCAGAATATTTTCATCACCCCAGAAAGAAATCCCACACCTGTTAGAAGTCACTCTTCATTTCCCTCTCCCCACAAACACTGGCAACCACTAATCTACTTTCTGTCTCTACAGATTGGCCTATTCTGGACATTTTACATGAATGGAATCATACAACATGTGGCCTTTTGTGTCTGATTTCTTTCACTTAGCAGAATGTTCTTTTTTTTTTTTTTTAAAGATTTTATTTATTTATTTGAGCCAGAGAGAATGAGAGAGAGAGAGAGCACATGAGAGGGGGGAGGGTCAGAGGGAGAAGCAGACTCCCTGCCGAGCAGGGAGCCCGATGCGGGACTTGATCCAGGGACTCCAGGATCATGACCTGAGCTGAAGGCAGTCGCTTAACCAACTGAGCCACCCAGGCGCCCCACTTAGCAGAATGTTCTTGAGGCTCACCTGTATTGTAGCAAATGTCAGTCCTCACTATTTTTCAATAATAAGCTTTATTTTTTAGAGCAGTTTTAGGTTAAAGCAAACTTGAGTGACAAGTACAGAAAAGTCTCATATACTCCTTGTTGGCACACATGCACTTCGTTACTTTTAATGGCTGAATAAATATTCTATTTCATGGATATACCACATTTTGGCTATCCACTCACTGACTGATGGACATTTGGGTTGTTTCCACTTTTTGGCTATTATGAATAATATATTTTTTTAAAGATTTTATTTATTTATGTGAGAGAGAATGAGAGAGAGAGCATGAGAGCGGGGAGGCTCAGAGGGAGAAGCAGATTCCCTGCCGAGCAGGGAGCCCGATGCGGGACTCGATCCAGGGACTCCAGGATCATGACCTGAGCTGAAGGCAGTCGCTTAACCAACTGAGCCACCCAGGTGCCCTATTATGAATAATATTGCTATGAACATTTGTTATAAGCTTTTGTGCGAGCATATTCTCACACAAAGTTTTCAATTCTCTTGGGTATATACCTAGGAGTAGAATTGCTAGGTCGTATGGTAAATCTGCTTAACTTCTGAGGAACTGCTAAACTGTTTTCCAAAGTCGCTGTAGCATTTTATATTCCTGCCAACATTGTATAGAGGTTCTAATTTCTCCACATCCTCCCCAATCCTTGTTATCTTTTTTGATTATAACCATCCTATTGGGTATGAAGTGGTATTTAATTGTGATTTTTGTTTGCATTTCCCTGGTGGGTAACGATTTGGAGCATCTTTTCATGCTCTTATTGGCGATTTATACATATATATTCTTTGAAGAAATGTCTATTCAGACATTTTTGTCCATTTTATTATTATTATTATTATTGTTGTTGTTATTATTATTATTTTCCTTTGTCCATTTTAAAGCTGGGTTATTTGTCTTTTAATTGTTGAGCTGCAAGAGTTCTTTATATATCCTGGATAGTAGGTCTTTATCATATATATGACTTGCAAATATTTTCTCTTTTGTTCAGTTTTTATATCTTTATTTGAGATCAGCCTGACCTTGCTAATTTATTATAAGTGGTAGAACTGGTCCTGCAGTTTTAAGTACTACATTGAGAGAAAAACTAGGCTTAGAAGAGTCATCAGGCTAACAGAATAGCCTGCAATCAATATGCAAATACAGATGATTAAGGCTGGAATTTTATCTTATTATCATTATTATTATTTTTTAAGATTTTATTTTTAAGTAATCTCTACACCCAACATGGGGCTCAAACCTACAACTCCAAGATCAAGAGTTGCATGCTCTACTGACTGAGCCAGCCAGGTGTCCGCAAGGCTGGAATTGAGCACCTCCGTTTGAGAGGGAATGTGAGCCACCCAAAGTCAGGCAGGGTGTTAGGGGCAGGGCTGAAGCTAGAACTTTAGTCTCTAACTCCTAGCCTCTGACAACTCACCTCAGAATTGATGGGTCAAAATGATAAAACACACACACACACACAACAAAAAAACAAAGAATGTACAAGACAGAACAATTGATTCAAACTGAATTTGGTCACTTTATTTTGGACATATGAAGCCAGAGGAGAGAGGAAATGCACAAAGGATATGACTAGGGTTTAAGTCAAGACAAGTTTACTGAATGTATACTAGGTACTGTGCTAGACTCTAAGGGCATGCAAGATGAGAGGAGGACACCTGCCCCTGAGGAACACTGATAGAAAAGATACACGCACAAAAAAATTATGGTATGATGAAATGAGGGCTGTAGTAGGGCTGGGAGAGATTGTAGAGCTTATCTTATCAGTGTTTTTCAAGAGTTTTTGTTCATATATGCCCAAAATAATTTTGACAAACCCTGTACCCTTTCATACTTTTTAAAGTTAACATCTAAAGTTTTTTCTTTCTTTCTTTCTTTCTTTCTTTCTTTCTTTCTTTCTTTCTTTCTTTCTTTCTTTCTTTCTTTCTTTCTTTCTTTCTAGATTTTATTTATTTATTTGACAGAGAGAAAGAAAGAACACAAGCTGGGAGAACAGCAGGCAGAGAGGGAGAGGGAGAAGCAGGCTCCCTGCTAAGCAGAGAGTCCAACATGGGGCTGGATCCCAGGACCCTGGGATTATGACCTGAGCTGAAGGCAGCAGCTTAACCAACTGAGCCACCCAGGCGCTCTAAAGTTTTTCATTGTTAGTTTAAATAGTTGCAAAAGATCCAATTTCAGGCACACTGTAAATATTGGCATTTTAAGATAAAATGAAATTTGACACTCATTATAATCCATTTAAAAAACTATACAAACATACTCTTCTTTAAAAATTGAAAACAGGGCACCTGGGTGGCTCATATTTAGGAAGATGTGGTGTGTGTGTGTGTATATAAATAGAGTATTATTCAGCCATAAAAAGGAAAGAGATCTTGCCATTTGCAACAACATGGATGGATCTAGAGAGTATAATGCTAAGTGAAATAAGTCAGTCAGAGAAAGACAAACACCATATGATTTCACTCATATGTGGAATTTAAGAAACAAAACAAATGAACAAAGGAAAAAAAAAGAGATAAATCAAAAAGCAGACTCTTAACTATAGAGAACAAAAAAGTTACTGAAGGGGAGGTGTGAAGGGGGAATGGGTGAAACAGGTGAAGGAGATTAAGAGTATACTTAGTTTGATGAGCATGGAGTAAAATATAGAATGGCTGAATATTGTACACTTGAAACCAATTTAACACTGTATGTTAACTATACTGGAACTAAAATTTAAAAAAGTAGATGGGAATAGAAGATGTTTTGTTGCAGCAGTAACAGTCAATTCTTTGAACTCATCTAGAGGCATATGCTAAAAATTACATAGTGATCTCTCAGCAAAAAATTTTAATGTTCTACTAAATGACAATGCTGAATGCAAAGAACTGGGAGCCACCTGAACTACAAAAGGCTTTCTCAACATCAACACCATTATTTCATTATTGTCCCTTGCTTTTGTACCCTGGAGGTATTCCCATCCCAAGGCAAAGCATCATGTTAAGGGTGAGTGGTTTGTCTAAAACAGCAGAGAATGAAATAATTGAAAACGGTAGAAGGATGACATTGCCAAGGGAGGTGGGAAAGGAGAAACTGTATGTGAGGCAGGTGCCGGATGATTATTTTTTAAAGATTTGCTTCATTTATTTATTTTAGAAAGAGAGAGGGAGAGTGTGCATGAGTAGGGGGAGGGGCAGAGGGAGAGGATCTCAAGCCGACTCCATGCTGAGTGGAGAGGCCGATGTGGGGCTCGATGGCATGACCTTGAGATCATGACCTGAGCTGAAATCAGGAGTCAGCCACTTACCCGACAGAGTCACCAGGCACCCCCCAAATGATTATTTTCTAAAAGACTGATTTCTACTTACTGATTTATTTTTTTTTTTTTTTTTTTTTTTTTTTCTAAGATTTTATTTATTTATTTGACAGAGAGAGAGAAAGAGCGAGAGCAGGAACACAAGCAGGGGGAGTGGGAGAGGGAGGAGCAGGCTTCCCACTGAGCAGGGAGCCTGATGCGGGGCTCGATCCCAGGATCCTGGGATCATGACCTGAGCCGAAGGCAGACGCCTAACGACTGAGCCACCCAGGCGCCCCTACTTACTGATTTAGAAGGTAGAGGATTCAGACAATTACTCTTGGCTTTTAGATAAGGCCTATAAAAGATAAAATGAGATTAATTCTTAGTACAGAAGGATCAGCAAGGCTTGGGAAGTATAGTGATTAAAATTTATTATGATTAGAATTTTAAATCATTGGAATTTCTGTATATAGTAAAATAATTCAAAATTATATGCAATAAAGTCTTCCTATTATCCCTTTCTTAGTCCTGCTATTCTACCCCTCAGTGACCACACCACTCTTACCCATTTTTTCTGTGATCCTTTCAGAGATGTCCTATGCATAAATACAGCATTCTAACAAGATTAATGAAATATATGTTTTCTTCATATTTGCATAGTGTTGTTCATCCAAACATCATTCCTTAACACTGCAATATGCCAGATACTAGAGATACAATGTCAAGTAAGGTAATTAACAGCTTCTTTGAAAAATGTCCTGTTTTAAGTATCTTCAGATAATGAATATTCAGGGATGAAAAAAAGATTTAATTAAAAAAACAGGAGCACATATGAAATCTAGCCAATGAGCAGAAAATGCAAAAAAGGATAGGAAAGTAGAGGAGAATTAAGAAGGATTCAATCTGCGTGGATCAAAAGCAATTGCCAGACTAATAGGGACTTTGATCATGACTTGCTGTTAGTTTCCCCCATCTTGAACATAAACCCTGGAGTATTTGTTGAATAAATGAATTAGATTTATTTAATCAAGGAAATAGAGCTGAGTAAAACCCCAAAGTAAAAGGAAACGAAAATAAAGGGTCAAAACTAACTTTGTAAAAATTTACTCCCTCTTCTTTCAGGAGAAAATACATCAATGTTAAGTAAGAGGGACTAATAACACTACAATGGCAAGATGTTGACAAAAGATAAAAGTGAAACAGTCATATTCTGTCCAACTCAAGAGTATAAGTGCTAAGAGAATGGCCAAAGAGGACTATCAGGCTGGAGGATGTTGGTGTGCAGCTATGAAGGACTGACTATAACTGGCTCTCCTACTTTAGCAAGGAACAACAGAACCAGGGTCATTCAACTCCTTGACCTTTTCTAGCCTTCACAAGAATCACTTTCCCAGGAAAAAAAGCAGGGATAAGAAAAGTTTCCAGCATTGTAGGTAATACTGTGGACCTTCTCCCCCTTCCTTTAGAGACTGTCACAATAATAGTGCTTAAACTGCTCGGGTTTTTTTTGTCATGTCTGGACCAATATACCCTTTTCTGAGTTATCATAGGATCTCAATGCAGTCTGAGTAGACTCCTAACAAAAGGGCTGTGTCTTTTTTTTTTTTTTTTTTTGAGTATGTCCTTTTTAAAAAAATATTTATTTATTGACAGAGAGAGAGAAAGAGAGCACAAATAGGGGGAGCAGGGGAGGGAGAAGCAGACTCCCTATTGAGTAGGGAGCCTGATATGGGGCTCCATCCCAGGATCCTGGGATCATGACCCGAGCCAAAGGCAGATGCTTAACCAACTGAGCCACCCAGGCGCCCCAAAAGGGCTATGTTTTGAAAGGCTTTAAATTGCTAGTAGCAACAAGGGCAACAAAACTTGCATAATTGTGTGAGACAAACTCACTTGGTATTTTGGCACTTCAGTTTTCCCTTGGCTGCTAGGTACTCCTGGAGCTTTCTCTGCCGCTCTTCTGCAAAATAGGGAGGCAAACAAACAACAGAAACTTAGCTGGAGATTTTAACCAGTGCGTCTATATTCTAAAAGATGGCACTTTTCTATAATAATTTTGGCTTTGGATCATATGCTATAAAGTCCCTAACCCCACAAATTTGCCTCCAAGTTAATGTCTATATCAACAATATCATTTGTATGCCATGTCCTATACTAAGCTCTTCATACTTAAATTACTTTCTTTAATCCACACAACAATTCTATGAGGTATTTTACAGTCTGAAATCTAGAGGGTAAATGATATGACCAAAGTTACCTAGCTAAATGTAGCAAAGCTACGATTTGAAACCAGGTTTATCCACCTCCAGAGTCCTTGCTCACAGCCACCGTTCTCAGCTACAACGTATTATGCTTTGCATGAAGAAATCTGTTACTGGCTCATCTGAGCTGGTGAACCAGCACTGGTCTTTTCTTTAATTTTATTTTCAAATTTTTTTATTTTTTTAAGTAGCCTCCATGCCCAGCGTGGATCCCAACATGATGTTTGAACTCACGACCTGAGATCAGGACCTGAGCTGAAATCGAGAGTCTGATGCCTAACTGATTGAGCTACCCAGGCGCCAGTTGGCCTGGTCTTATTGTGGGTTTTTGTTTTTGTTTTTCCTGGCAGGGATGATGATTTTTGCCACAAACCCTTACATGGTTTCCTTTGGGCCTAAGGACAAAATAGGCCAGGTTAGGGGGTTCATGGCAAACATCTATTACATGGTGACTTTCTAAGCAAGGCATGTGAGGGAATGAAAATTCAGTATTTCTGTCTTCAGGAAGGTTCAATCTAGTAGTGAAAATAAAATAAGCACAACAATAATTACAATATAAGGCAAAATCTAGGTATCATAAGAAAGGGTCAAAGAAAGAATTATGGGAGTTCAGAAGCAGGGAATGAGTGAGAGGAATAGGTGGTTGGAAAAGGCTAAAATTCAATAGTGGCAAAAAAAAAAAAAAGACAATAGGGGTGCAAAACTACACTTAATTTCATCTAAACCGAATTGCTGTGTGTTTTGATATCTGGTTCTGATGCATCCCTAGGAGACAGCTTTGAGGATTATGCATTTTATGCTATGCCAGGCTATGCCATAGAGAGCACGGGCTGAGAGACCGGGTTAGAATCCCAGCGCTGTGGCTTCTAGCAAGTTAGCAAACCCGCTGCTGCTGAACCTATAAAAATGAAATGCCCATCTTTAAAGACTGCTATGTAAAGCACCAGTGCCCAGGACCTAGCGGACAGTCAACAGGTATTATTACTGAAACTATCAAAATACTGTGTGCCTTTAGGAGCTGGTGACATCTGAGCTGTATTTTGAAAGGCACCTAAAGGCTCCACGTACATTTAAGAGATCAGGGAACCCAGGACCCTCAGTTCTCTGTGCGGATTTAACCATCAACTTCCAGCGCCCCCGCCCTGCCCTCTTAGGGTCAGACCCCGCCTTTTGGCAGCTGTCAAAGATCTGCCTGGAGCCAAATCTGGGTTAGGGAGCGCTTGGCTTCCTTCTGGGTATGCGACCTGGGCAAGGGGTATCAGGGTCTCTACCTAAACGAGATGACAATGACATCTCTTTGCAGAGCTGCGGCAGGAATTACGGGGAAGATGCCTGTGAGGCATCTGCCCGGCATCTACTTTCCCTTACCCAGGGCCAGAAGCCTCACTCAGGGCCAGGGCCTGGGCTCCCGTCAGCGTTCCTTGGACTGGAAACGCCCAGGGGGAGACTGAGGCAGGCACGGGAGCGGACGGGCACCTCCCGCGAAAAGAACTGACTCGGTGGCCCCCCTTCTTCCCCGCCCTTGCTGGAGCGCCTGCAAGACGCAGGGACTCACGGTCATACTCACCGGCGGCTGCCGACGGCCGCGGTGGCACCATGACGTCTCCGCGACAGTTTTTCTTCAAAGCCCGCGCCTGAAGCTACGGCTGGGGCACAACGCGTCCGCTCGCTCTCATTGGCTCCTGTGGGTTTGAAACCCGCCAGTAGGAAGCAGGGGAGGGCGGGACAAAAGGAAATAGGCGCCTTCCGGTTGGCTCTGCCCTTCGAGCCCTCCCCGGAGGCCCTTTGATTGGAAGAACGTGCAGCTCCCGGACATTAAAGGCGGCTGCTGGGACCTGAGACCGCGTCCACCGGAGGGTCAGGCTGGTATCTTTTGAGGACCTGTGCGTGGCCGGTTGTGGAGTCGGTTACGGAAACCCGCTCGGCCGCATAGGCAGGGCCGCCTTACTCCTCTCACACCCTAAGGGTCACAGGAGCTCTGAAAAAATAAGGTAAACCCCAAATCTGATGAATTCGGGGCGCCTCACCAGCATATTAGCTCTACTTGAGAAGGTTCTCACCTTCAATCTAAAAGCTCTAAGTTCTTCGTATTGCGGGATGGCTGCTATTTTTGTATTTAACTGAGGTAAAAATATACGTAATAGAAGTTACCATTTTAACCAGTTTTAAGTGTACAGTCCAATGGCACTGAGTACATTCACTATGGTGTACAACCCTCACCACCATCCAGATCCCGAACTTGTTCATGGACCCAAATAGAAACTCTATCGCCATTAAAGGGGAACTCCCCCTTGCCGCCGCCTCTCACGCCGGGGGAAGCCCCCACTTCACTTTCTATGTGTGATTTTGAAACTCTAGGACCCCCATTTAAGTGGAATTGTCCAGGACTTGTTTTTTTGTAACTGGCCTATTTCACTTAGCATTAAGTCCTCAAGCTTCATCCATGTTGCAGCATGTGGCTGGATTTTCTCCCTTTCTGAGGCTGAATAATATTCCATTGTATGCTTGTACCACCTTTATCCATTCATCTGTGGATGGAAACTTGGGTTGCTTCCACCTTTTAGCTGTTGTGAATAACGCTGCTATGAACATGGGTGTACAGCTAGCTACCTGTTGGCATCTCTGCTTTCAATTCTTTGGGGTGTTTATAGAGAAGTAGTATTGTTGGATTATATGGTATTTCTATTTTTAATTTTTGGAGGAAGTGCCATGCTGCTTTCAGGGTGGCTCCTTTTTAATGTATATTTTTTTCTTTGACCTTATCAGCTGGGTATATGCCTACCTGAGAAAGGGATGATGGGGGGCATGCCCAATCTTCCTGAGTCATTAGACACACCCCATTCCTCTTATTTCAGCCTGAAAACGTTTTCCTTCAAAGCTTGCCCCCTGTTTTAACTATTCCCTGGTTTCACGAAGAGGTCTGGGGAATGTTTCTGGTATTCTGCATGTCAGGGTTCCTCTCTCCTGGATGCTAGGGAGGTGGATAGAGAGGGACAGTTATGTCTGGGTCCCTGTTTGCCGCATTTGCTTCACCAGTTGGGTACTCAGCTGGGCAGGAAGCTATTACAGCAGCTCTTCACCTTGGCCTCAAGTGGGGAGTTTAGCAGGGAGCCATACTGGGGTTTCTGGATTTATGCATTTTGACATTTACATTAATTGTATACAAATATGCTCAAAACATGACAATTGATAATTATTTTATATTTATCTAGGACCATGAGTCTTTGTCTAGGACCATGAGTCTTCCTAATGGTTAACACTAGCAGCTGGGCAAGAGCCTTTTTGGTTAATGAGTAAGAACAGAGCTCGTTTACAGACAGTTTCAGAAAAGCAAATGGAGTTCTGTTGGTCTGTACAGAATCGTAGTGATTGAATGGGTTTCAGTTTTAGAAATTATCTTGCCTGATCTGCCACCCAGTGCTAGAGTATTCTACAGATCCCATTAGGTCTTGCATCTTTGCAGGCATACTGCTGGTGTCAGGGAATTGCCTTACCTTATTAGAAAGCCCTGATTATTATGAAACTTTCTTTTAAATGAGCTCCAATAAGCCTCTTGCTCATTGGTCCCACTTTGAGCAACATAGGCCAGTTCTGCACCCTTTCCTACATTCTTTGGATAGTTGAGGGACTGTTTTGTGGGACACTAAGTGTGGAAAGAAAGCTAGGTAGGTATAACAATTTTCAACTCATCAAACAATGTATCCACAGTAGCTCTCCTTATTACTTTAATGGCTTCATATTGCTCTCAGGCTAAAGTCCTACAAGTCCCTGCAGGGCCTGGCCTTTGTCTACTTCTTCAGCTTCAGTTCATGCTAGTCTTCCCCTTGCTCACTGTAGTTCAGTCACACTGCTTTTTTTCTTCATTTCCTTTACATACTTTTCTTTCTGGGAACTGAACTCTTCTTCCCTTTTTTTCCTAGTTTCCCCTTCTTCTTATTATTACTATAACAGCTTTGTTGAGATACACATATACCATATAATTCATCCACTTTGAGTGTACAATTCAATTTTAGAACATTTTCATCTGGGCGCCTGGGTGGCTCAGTCGTTAAGCGTCTGCCTTCGGCTCAGGTCATGATCCCAGGGTCCTGGGATCGAGTCCCGCATTGGGCTCCCTGCTCTGCGGGAAGCCTGCTTCTCCCTCTCCCATTCCCCCTGCTTGTGTTCCCTCTCTTGCTGTGTCTCTCTCTATCAAATAAACAAATAAAATCTTAAAAAAAGAGAACATTTTTTTAAAATGTTTTAAAATTTTTTAAAAAAGAGAACATCACCCCCTAAAGAAACTGCATACCTATTAGCAGTCACTTCCCATCATTCTTCCCTCTTCCTAGTCCCTGGAAAACACTAGTCTACTTCCTATCTCTATAGATTTGCCTGTTCTAGACATTTCATATACATGGAATTATACACTATGTGGTTTATGATGGGCTTCTTTCATTTAGTATAATATTTTCAAGGCTCATCTTTGTTGTAGCATGTGTCAGTACTTCATTCCTTTTTATGACTGGATAACATTCCATTGTACGAATATGCTATATTTTATTTACCCATTCATCAGTTGTTGGACATTTGGGTTGTTTCCACTTTTTGGCTCTTAAGTATAATGCTTCTGTGAACATCCATGTACAAGTTTTTTTTTTTTTTTTTAAAGATTATTTATTTGAGAGAGAGAGAATGAGAGAGAGAGAGAGAGAGCACATGAGAGGGGAGAGGACCAGAGGGAGAAGCAGACTCTCTGCGGAGCAGGGAGCCCAATGCGGGACTCAATCCCGGGACTCCAGGATCATGACCTGAGCCGAAGGCAGTCGCTTAACCAACTGAGCCACCCAGGCGCCCCCCCCATGTACAAGTTTTTATTGTGGACATATATTTTCAACACTCTTGACCCTCACCCCTCCACCCCCCAAAAAAGAAAAGTCTAAGACTAGATGGCTTCACTGGTGAATTCTACCAAACATTTAAAGACAAATTAATACCAATCCTTCTCAAACTCTTCCAGAAAATAGATGAGGATGGAACACTTCCAAACTCATTTTATGAGGCCAGCATTACCCTGATACCAAAACCAGACAAGGGCACTACAAGAAAACAAAATTACAGGCCAATATCCCTGATGAACACAGATGCATCCCCCCCCCAAATATTAGCAAACTGATTTCAGCACTACATTAAAAGGATCATACACCATGATCAAGGGAGATTTATTCCAGGGATGCAAGGATGGTTCAGCATCTTCAAATTAATGAATGTGATACACCACAGTAACAAAAAGAAGTATAAAACACATATCATCCCAATAGATGCAGAAAAAACATTTGACAAAATTCAGTATCCATTAATGCTAAAAACTTAACAAACTGGGTATAGAGGTAATGTATCTCAACATTATAAAGGCTATAAATGACAAGCCCACAACTAACATCATACTCAGTAGTGAAAAGCTGAAAGCTTTTCCTTTAAGATCAGGAACAAGACAAGGATGCCTACCCTCATCATTTTTATTCAACATTGTATCAGAAGTCCTAGACAGAGCAACTGGGCATAAATAAAAGGCATCCATGTCAGAAAGGAAGAAGTAAAATTGTCTCTTTTTGCAGATGACATGGTATTATATATAGAAAACTCTAAAGACTCTAAAAAAAATGTTAGAAACAGTAGATGAATTCAGTGAATTTGCAGCATAAAACATCAATATATATAAGTCAGTTGCATTCCTATATACTAACAATGAACTATCAGAAAGATAAAGTAAGAAAACAGTTCCATTTACAATAGCATCAAGAAGAGTAAAATATTTAGGAATAAATTTAACCAAAGAGGTGAAAGATCTCTACACTGAAAACTGAAAGACATTGATGAAAGAGGTAGAAGAAGACACAAATAAATGGAAAGATATCCCATGTTCATGAATTGGAAAAATTAATATTGTTAAAATGTCCACACCAACCAGAGCAATCTACAGATTCAGTTCAACCCCTGTCAAAATTCCAATGGCATTTTTCACAAAAGTAGAAAAAACAGAAAAACAATCCTAAAATTTGTATGGAATCACAAAATATTCCAAATAGCCATAACCATCTTGAGAAAGAAGAATAAAGCTGGAGGCATCACATTTTCTGACTTCAGACTACATTACAAAGCTATAGTGACTAAAACAGTATGGTATTGGCATAAAACCAGACACATAGACCAATGCAACAGAATTGAGAGCCCAGAAATAAACCCATGCATACATGGCCCATTAATTTTTAAGAAAGGAGCCAAGAATATACAATGGGGAAAGGACAGTCTTTTATTTTATTCATTTATTTATTTTAGAGAGAGAGCACTGGTGGGGAGAAGCAGAGGGGGAGGGAGAGAGCGAATCTCAAACAGACTCCATGCTGAGCGTGGAGCCTGAGGTGGGGCTCAATCTCACAACCCTGAGATCATGACCTGAGCTAAAACCAAGAGTCAGGTGCTTAACTGACTGAGTCACCCAGGCACCCCTAAATAGGCTTTTTTCCAAAGAAGATATACATAGGGCCAACAGGTACATGAAAAGATGCTTAACATCACTAATCACCAGGGAAACGCAAATCAAAACCACAAGGAGATATCAACCTTACAGTTAGTGTGGCTATCCTCAAAAAGACGAGAGAAAACAAGTGTTGGCAAGGATATGGAGAAAAGGGAATCCTTGTGCAGTGTTGATGGGAATGTAAATTGCTGCAGCCACTATAGAAAACAGTATGGAGGTTCCTCAAAACACTAAAAATAAACCTACCATATGATCCAGGATTTCCACTTCTAGGCATATATCCAAAGGAAATGAAAACAAGATATCAAAGAGATAATCTGTATTTTCACGTTTATTGCAGCATTATTTACAATAGTCAGGATATGGAAACAATCAAAGTGTCCATCAATGGATAAAGTTGTAGGTATTTTAAATAAAACAGGATCACACTGCAAAAATGTTTATAACCTATTCTTTATACTGATTAAATAC